TATTCGGCTATTTTGAAGACATCCTAAAATGCAATTTTATGGCATTGCAGTTCATCAAAGTCACTTCTACAAGAGCTAGAACACCCTGGTGTAGGTGCACACTTCTGCTTATCTAAAGTAATCTAAGAAGGGCATTTAAAGGTGTGGGGGGAGACTGCCTCCACAGTCCTCGTGAGGAACACACATGAGGGTTATTTCTTACAACTAGATCTCTCATAACAGTTCAAAATTTAAGGTTTGAGGTGATATTATCTGACAAGAATTTACAGATTAAAAAATTCCACATAGCCAATTTGGGATAAATGTATTGAACAGGGGGGACAAGATTACTATTTCCTCATGAAAATCAACTAACAAATTTACATGCTTGAAAGTCCAGCCACACAGCCTCTGCCTAGAGGTAGCCTGAGGGGAGCATCCACAGGGAGAGTCAAAACTGTCCCCAGTAGATCCCCAGATCTGGCAATCCCACACGGGATGTAGAGCCAGAGAAGGGGAAGTCTGTGTGTTTAAGAGATAGCTGTGCTCCTTTGTTTATTCCAGCACTGTTCACAATAGACAAGAAATTGAATGAACCCAAGTGTCCATCAGCGGATGCATGAATAGAGAAAATGTGGTACTTATCCACAAGGGAGTACTATTCATCCACAAAAAAGAGTGAAATTCTGTCATTTGCAGCAACACAGATGAACCTGGAGGGCATCATATTAAGTGAAATATACCAGGCACAGAATGACAAATACCATATGATCTCACTTGTGGAATCTAAAATGTCATTCTCATAGAAGGAGACAGTAGAATGATTACCAGAGGATGGGTAGTGGTGAGAGACTGGTCAGTGAGTACAAAGCCATAGTTAGACAAGAGAAATAAGTTCTGTGGTTCTATTGCATAAAAGGATAACTAGAATTAACAATGTATTACATATTTCAAAATAGCTATAAAAGGTTTTTTAATACTCTCATCACAAAGAAATGTTGTGTTTAAGATGATAGATATGCTAATTAGCCTGAGTAGATCATTACATAATTTATACATGTATCTAAACATCACATTGTACCCCATAAACATGTCCAGTTATTACATCTCAATCATAAATATTTAAGAAATTTTAAATATTTAAAGCCTTTCTCTAATATTTAAAATGAGAAATTTTAAATATTTTAAAATAGTAACAATTGTACTAAAAAATAATCATGCTTGGTGAACACCAACAGAAGACAGAAGGGACAAGAAGGCTCTGATTACCGACTCCATCGAGTAAGGCAACAATGGTTTGAGCCTGGAAAGCTTTAAGAGAAGCTTCTATCCATCATCTCCCCACCAGGAAAAAAAATTAAGAAACTTATAAGAAGCCACTGAATGTGTAGTTTTAAGGAATATCACTTTTGGTAATGCCTACAGGAAGACATGGATGAAAATATACTTCTAGGCAGTTCAATATAGGTGGAGAATCTGCCAACAGTTTTAGAGTAGTTGGTTGAAGCCATTCTTTTTTGATAGCAGGACCAGTATCTTCATTACACATAATTTGAATAAGATCTAGGAATACTGTTTGATTCTCTGCTTCCCTTTTTTTTTTTCCTTTATTTTTCATGCCTTTCTTTAAGATGACAAGCAGGTACATGCCAGTGTCAATTGTAGGTGACTCTTTTTAGAAAAACATTCTCCAGTTCTGTGTGTGAGCAATATAAAAGAATGTCCTGGCCCACAAGAGCTGCCTAAAAAGGGCGTCAAAGAGCAAAGGTCTGGTACAAAGCTCTGCAGGGCTTTCCCCTCTTCTATTACTTATCTAATTTGCAGTATTCAGTACAACAAATATCAGTGGTGGCTGGCCTGCTATGGAAACAACGGGACATAAAAACAAGTGGAACAGAGACCTGGCCCACAAACAGCTTTCAATCTAGATTGCAAAGTTGGTAAGAGACACTCAAATAACCATGCTACGAGGTATGGAAAGGTAGCCATACCATCGGTATTGATGGGAGGGGAAATTTAAGAGGATACTGTGTTGTCATCTTTTCTTTCAAGTTTCTTATTCTCTTCACCTCAATAAACTGTTAGGTGCACCTGTCAGGTGCCAGGCCCCCGTGTGAGGGGTTAGGGTACAGCGGAAATCAAGCACTGGCCTTGCCCTCAGAGAGCTGCTTCTAGCAAGAGTCGTCAAAACTTTGCAAATGTGTCTGCTTGAGGCCAGGGACTTGGTCTTGCATTGACATGTTTTTGTACATCCCCTCCCTCAAACAGTCCCATGCACAGGAGAGAAAGCAAACATTTTTTCAGGAGTGGCATTAATATTAAGACGCAGCAGCTGGAAATTGGCAAGGTGCCCTCAGAAGGTTGGAAAAGGGATTTATTTTTCCAACCTCACCACAGGAACCGAAGCCCTGGCAGATGCCTCCATGTGTTAGCGGTGGCTGATCCGAGTGAGATCATTATTAATTATTAGTTACTTTTGAGTGTCTTTCTCAGAAACTACAGAGTGGTTGGGAAGCCTAGACACTCTTGAGTTGCAATCAATACTGTATACACCTTGCACAGGGGCCTGAGTGGCATGTAATTATAAAACAGTATTGATTCCTGGCAAAGGGATTTAAAATGTACAAATCCTTCACATAAAAATCAGCTAACTCTTCAAAGGGCTTGATTATTTCCTTTTGCTTAAGAAAGAGATGGATGGTTGGAGTAAGAAACTTGAAATGTTAGCTAAATGAGGGCTATTTCCTGCCAGGCTCCAGATCTGTACACATAATTATTTTATTCTCTGTACTGGCACTGATTCACTTTGGTTGAGTGTTGGAAATATCTCTGTTTTGGGTCTGCAATCCAAATTACTCAGTCAGTGCCGATGCTGATGTTTTCTACTCACATCTTCCTGTATTATTTTTCTGTAAAACAAATACTTGCATGTCTGGGACTTGCCTCATGCTGGTGCCCACCCCACTCCTGCTTCTCCTGCTCTTCTCTATTCCATCGTCCAGCGTGCCCCTTGGCCTGGAACTTCATCTGCCCTCCTACAACCTATCATCACAAAATCCTGCCTATTTTGGCCTAATTCTAATTTCTACTTCTAAATTGGCGTCCACCTTCCATGGACTCGATGAATAGGACTCCATCCTATTAGAATGACCAGAAATCGGTATAGCTGTTAGTCTTTCTTCCTCTTGGCTACGTGTCCATCCTCAGCAGTGATTGTGAACATGGACTCAGTCTGCCTTTGCTGGAATCGACGAGGCCCTATCATTTTATGCCTAGATCCACAGAGTGGCCTTGCATTGCTTTTCAGCTTCGAGTCCTGCCCCTTTCCATGACTGATGAGAGGCCTTTTGAAAATGCAAGTCCTATCAAGTCATGTGGCTGCATGAGTCCTCTAATAGCTCCCCTTTGCCTGCAATCCAAGATGGACAAATAATTGTTGACTTGGAAGTGATGGAAACTGAGCCTTAAGAGATACAGTTTATCTCCCAAGACCCAGAGGTTATTGGAAGACAGAGGGTCGAGAGGACTGCTACGGGAGCTCCCTCAGGAAGGCTTCCACATGGGCTTCTTTGGCATTTTGAATATCTGTGGTTGGTTTAGCTGGGGCTGAGACACAGAACTTGTGTATAAAACTATCTCCCTGGTTGTGTAGAGCTAACTTATCAGTGTGAGACAGTCACAATTTATTCTACTCTGGGTACCTCATGTTTCCTGAGCCATGCAGCGAAGTCTTGTTGAGAATGTTACAAGGGAATGCGCCCCCGTGGTATGTCCCCCCCTGAACTTCATATTTGAGGAAAAAGAAATCCTAAAGCCAATACAGGATCTGACACAAAGGGCCTGCCGCCTCTCTCAAAAGGTGCACTAATGCCATGATATACGGGAAAATGCTTGGTAATGTGTGGCAATCCTATGCATTGCAGGAGGTTTGGCATCACCAGCCTCTCATGCTAAATGCCAGTCATGCTCCTCAGTCATTGAAACCAGCAGAAATACTCCTCACATGCCCTTACATAGTTGCAAATGCTCTGGAGATGGGTAATGGCACTGCCCCTACTTAAGAACCACCAGCTCCTGTAACTACCTGGCCTAATTCTAACTTCTAAAATGTTCTCCTTTCCTGAGACTATGATGAAGAAAGATACTCTGTCGTCTTTCTATCACTCCTCTGGCTTCTTGATCTTCTGTAGTGATTGAGCTCAGATGCTGGAGTCATGCTGGCTGTGACCTTGAACAATTATTTAATCTCTCCATATCTCAGCTTTCTCAGATAAAATGGGGATAATAATGACATCTAGTTTAGTGGAGATAAAATGAAATTAAGCGTGTAAGCTGTTTATCACACCGCCCACCATTGGAGGCATGGTCATTGCATGAGGTGAGGATGATGACTGACTGATGATGTTGATGGCCCCCAAGCATAAGGGTCTTATCGGAGTAAGAAGTTGAAATTAATACTTAATAATGAATACTCCAGAAAACACAGACAAGCCGCATGACATGTGAGAAAAGGTAGGGGACTAGGTGGGAGTCAGGAAATCCTGTCGCTCCCTCTACCATCTATTCTTCTGGCTTTGAATGTCACTTCACCTCTTTGACTTTTACATACCGTATGAAATCTTTGTGTTACATGGTGTCAAAACGATTGAATGACTTAAGCCTTGTGAAGTAATTTCATAAACAGCTTGATGATATGTCATAAATAACCTGTTTTGCATTGGTGTTTCCCACCCCTGACTTGAAAATCCTCACCAGCCATGGGGAAAACACACTTAACAGGAACTTCTTGGTGACAGTCCACTTACATGGTAAATGGCAGGAAGTTATACATGACACTGAATCTCTCTCTCACCCCCTCTCTGCCAGTGTAGCCCCCAGTACCCCAGGGGAGAAGATCCTTGGAGCATTTAGGCATCTCATTAAAAGTTCGTGTCTGGGGTTCAGCAGTTTTTCCTGCTGGCTCCCTGGCACCCCCCGCCGGGGCATGTTGCCTTCATGGTTGTCTGCTTGTTGCCCTACAGCAACAAAGGCGAGAGAAGGAGCTGCGGAAGCAGCAGGAGAGGGAGCAGCGCCGGCACTATGAGGAGCAGATGCGCCGGGAGGAGGAGCGGAGGCGTGCCGAACATGAGCAGGTAGGGCTGGGACCAGGAGCCCCACCAATGGCCCCTGGGAGCCCTACCACCAGCCGTCTCTGGAGTATGGGTCACCTTTTCTGAGGAATGCTCAGCTTACATGGGATTTTACTCTTCCTCAAGCAACTGTGCCCACCCATTCAGGAAATCAAATGCACAGCTTTGGCAAGGCCCACCCATTGAGCCTTGCTTCCTACCCAGCCAGAGTTCCCTGACATACCTGGAGCTTCCAGTTCTCCCAACCCTGGGTATCTGATTTGAAAGTAGCATTGAAGCATGAAAAATCAGCCAAGTCCCACTTTTCACTGATTCAGAAGAGCTTTTCTGCTCATGCTATCTCTGGTCTTTATGACTTTGAGTCATTGATGGAGACCCCTCTCTCTTGCTAGAATCACATTCTGACAGCACAGTGGAACTCTGCAGGATGGTTCCATTACAAAGACAGTGCGTGATGACATTCAACAATTGTCTTATCCCTGCTGCTTGCACAGGAGCCTCTGAACTTTATAGCATTGTTAATTCCAGGTAGTCCATAAAGAGAGGAGCCTGTAGTGAAAAGCTTCTACATGTAGCTGGGTTTATTAAAACCAAGTAGTAGCAGTAAAATGCTGAGCCATCTCAGTCAGCTGTTGGACATAGAGGGGCTTGTGATTTTTTCACTACATTGAAATGAATTTGCTTCAGTGTGGCACGCTCTTCCTGCTTTGTAAGGAGGTATTTGGGTACTTTTTCCCCTCCTTTCTTCTACACTTTACTTAGCAGTTCTTGTCACCTTTGAAATTACTGGTTCGTTTCTCTCTCTCTTTCTGGTCCTCTGAATTCTGTGCTGCCTACCGCTCCAGGAATACATCAGGCGACAGTTAGAGGAGGAGCAGAGACAGTTAGAGATCTTGCAGCAGCAGCTACTGCATGAACAAGCTCTACTTCTGGTAATGGGAAAGCCAAGAGCCAGCTGACCTGCTCTGTGTTCATCTTGCAAGTGTTTATGTGTGTGTGTGTCTGTGTGTCCTTCCAATGTGCCAGTCCAGAAGAAGGGATCTTCCAAGCCTCAGGGACCTCAGAAATCTCATAGAAACTTAATATATTATATGATTGATTTTGCTGAGTCCTAATACATTTAATACAGTTGTTATGCATTCTTTATTAACTCTATTTATTTGGAAAACTTGAGTAAGAATCTAGCCTTATGATAAGTACAGACTGCTTTTGAGACCCACTGTGTTTATTGCAGAGTAATTTTTAAGGTCATTTGCAACATGATGGAATACAATGACAGCAAAACACACCTCTCCCATAAGAACCCCCCAACTCTGCAGTCATATTTCATTTACAGACTATTAGCTTTACCCTTACGATGGGAACATTTTGTGCCCCTTGCTCATGCAGCCTCTACTTAAGTACAGTATTTTTTTTATTAGTATTATTATAGTCTGTTCTCCAGGTGGGCTTTTTGGTGCATTTTTTTAAACTGAACTTTTTATTTACTGGCATTCTGTACGTAAGCTTGCTAATGGCCTTCGTAGGTCCAAGTTTTATTAAACAAAAGATGATTTAGGCACTATCTTTGGCATTTTATTTAGTTTTTTACTTAATTGTACGTATTTGAGTGGTTTAATTACGAGATCAGGAAGTGGGTGACTTTTCCTAGGAGGTGTATGCTAACCATTTACATGTCCTCGTTATTGCCATTTTGTCACTTGCAATTCATCAGGGACAAGTCATTTCGTAACTGATGCAGTTTGGTAGGGATTGCCATTTTAAAGCAATGGTGTTTTCATTAAATGACACTTTCTGCTGTAGATACTAACACAAGGCAGTAGCTTATTTCTGTGGCACATCCTGACATCTTCCTGTCATTCTGTTAGTATTAAGATCCCTTGTTTTTTTAGCGTTATTTTGCCACCATTGCATGCTTAACTGATACTGGCCAGTGATTTCTGTGTGATAATTTGGCCTTTTATTTGCTCCTCTTTCCTCATCTGGACAGGAATATAAGCGTAAACAATTAGAAGAACAGAGACAAGCAGAAAGACTGCAGAGGCAGCTAAAGCAGGAAAGAGACTATTTAGTTTCCCTTCAGCATCAGCGGCAGGAGCAGAGGCCTGTGGAGAAGAAGCCACTGTACCACTACAAAGAAGGAATGAGTCCTAGTGAGAAGCCAGCATGGGCCAAGGAGGTAAGTAAGCAAGTGTAGCCTCACCCTGTTGGCCAGGCTTTTGACTCTAATGAGTTCGTCTGGTACAAGTGGAGAGTCAACCCAGTGCTGCAAAGTTGGAAAATAGTTCATCGTAAGGCACATGCTTTGCTTTTGGAAGAACCATAACATCATTTCTGTAGAGAAATAGCAAGATACCTTCTCCCATTTGTGGTTCTTTTTTTGTATGTCTTTGTGGTTGCAATGGACTTTTATAGGAAATAACAGAAGATAGGAAAAAAACCTTTTTCTGATACTAATCCGATTGAATTTGTGGCATAAAGATTTTTGTAACCTTTTTGTTGAATAATGTGATTAAGGATTTATAAAATTCTAGGAAGAATCAGTTCCTCTCCGTGCCTGGACGCTGTTCCTCATCATTAACGTTGTGCTAACATAACTTTGTTCACTGTGGTACCAGGAGATGCACGGTTGACCTGAGACGTGTGGTGGTATTCACTTTCAAGATCCGAGGTCATTCGTGTTTTTTTCTACACATACTTCCTTCATTTGCTTAACTACCAGACTAAGAAAGGATTTTCAGGAACTTAGCACTATGATGAGCTATTTTAACAAAAACTGCTTGGATGGAAGGAAGAAAAGGCGATAGCCAAACAGATAAAGCAAACAAAATAATAACTTCAGCCAGATCAGCACCCTTTCCAGGGAGTCACTGTATGAAGTCATGTGCATAACACGCTGGTTTTCAGTTCAATCATTATTTCTGGCTCTAGTGATTTCCTGTTTTTTATTGTGATCACAGCTAGTCATTTAAAGGATGTTTGGGGGTTATTTTGTATTTTTATCTAGCATCTTTAGATATTGCTCATTCTCTTTTCAAGTGATCTAGAATACAATATCACTAGAACCAGATTTCTTACATAAGATCCTATTTTTATGAAAATATTTCTTTTTATTTTTCTATCCTTTCTGACACATGTACAGAAAAATGCTTCACATAATGTTGTCCTAATGTTAATGATAGTGGTTCATGCGAGGAGGAAGTTAAAAAATGGATTTTTAAAACCTTTTTGAATCTTTACATAGTGCTTAAATCCTTTATATTGATCATGTACTTTTTTGTGAAAATAACTTTTTTCTTTTAAAACTTAAGTCTGTGGAAAACTGTTTTGATTTGAGATGAAGAATTTTTTTATCACTTTCCCTTATATCTGTAAACATGATCCATATTTACCTATGTCTCTAACATCTGCCTCTTTCTCTTAGATCAATAATTCAATTTTGTGATCCTACGCCCAGGTACAGCATCAACCCCTTAATAATCCACCTGTTCTTCCAGCTAAGCAAAATCACTATGCTGCTAAACAGCAGCTGACATGCTTCTTGGCTGGCAGGATGCACCACCTTCCTCTACTGCTAAACCATTTTCTAGCCATGCCAAGTTGAAATCCTCAGCTAAGCCAGACCCACAGCTCCTGACCATGGCAGGTATTCAGAAAAGTGAAAAACTAGCCTCTACAAAGCTAATGGCAGTAGCACCTGCAGGAATTAATGATTCCATATCAAGACTCCTGTTTGAGCATCACCCATGAAAGAAACATGGACCAGCTTGCCCTATTAGACTTGGTTTGGAAGAACAACTGAAGCCTCAGGAAGTCTCGAGAACCATAGTGAGATCTCCAAAGCCATCTTCCTAAGGATGTAGCCCAACTCGAGAGTTAGAATCTAAGGTCATTTGTGTGTCTTCTCCCAGTATCTCCAAAGTGACAAGCCCCGAGTTGTCCATTACCGCAATTCAGGAGAGTCTTAGAGATTCATGTAGGCCTTGGGGCAGGAAGAGCATGAACTCATGCATCTTTACAAGTGTTTCTACTCTTCTAAGAAATGCTGCATCGCTAAGTGACCTCTCCTTGATGCATGACCACTTGGCTTTCAGTGTTCCCAGCCCCAAGCATGAGTTTAGAAGAGGAACACCTACAGATCCCATTGGAAAAGATCATGATTTTGGGCAAAACATTCCAGAATTTCTTCTTTCCCCTAGACAGCTCCTTCATGCACAAATGTACCAGAAGAGGGGGAAAAGCATGGAGCAGTTTTCACTTCCTTCGTTCAGCCTCTACCCAGCACCTTCTGATTCGAACTTGTCTGCCCTGACTTCATTGTTTTCCAGTTGCTATTTGTCCTCATCACTAAATTTACTGGCCTGTCCTCTCTATTCAGAACTAGTTCATAGCTCCCAAGCTTTCAGGAGACATGGCATTCCTGGAGGCAGATCTTTGCAGATGTCATCAAGGCAGTTTTCTAGACCTCTTAATTCCCTCGTGCTTCCTGGTCAGGCTCTTAGCAGTAAAAGAAACACAGCATTTGAGCATGCAAACAACATGCCTGTGTTATCAAGCACTCCCGATGTGAGGTTCCCCAGTCACCATAAGTCTGGGCCATCTCTGGTGGGTGACATCTTCCAACGTCCCTGGCTTCCTGGCATTTGGTGCACTTCCTTTGGGCTTCATGCATTTCCAGAGATAGATGGGAACATTCTTTGGGGATTTCATATTTAGTCCTCTGCTCCTGGGTGTGGTTAACATGATCCAGCTTCCAACTAACTATCGTTATTCATGAAACAGTTCCCAAGTCTTAGAGTGGGTGATCATATTTTAGAGGAAAAATGAAACATTTAGTTGATGGAGAGTGACAGTGCTAAATTTAGGGCTGGAGCAATTGATGTACAAATAAGAACAAATAATTGTCTGCCTTGGTTTGAGTCATCATTTTTTAACACCCACTGAAAATGGGAATAAAAAATGAGTGCAAGGATCTTTATATTCTTGATCTTTTAATGCTTTTCATCAGCAATGTATGAACTTTTCATGTAAAGCATTATTTACAGATGTCTTTTCTCATATTAGGGAGGCAGGTGGGGCTCAAAGTGACCAAGCAGTAATATACGTTAGCTATGAACATAGCTTATCAGTATCTTAATTATCAAGTGATAAGAAAACCTGGGTTAAACCCTCTGGAGGTAAAATAAAAGGATGCCATTTTCTTTTTTCAAATGCACCCTCTGTGCTCATGCCACTGTCTCCTATGGTATAGGGTCTGGACTATTTTGCCCCATGTGCCACTGAAGGTATCACCCAGCTGTCTTCTACCTATTGCCACCTCTTCTGTAATCTGTTCCAGCGTTTGTTTTCTAACTCAGCTCTATGCCTTCTCATCAAGTTGTTTTTTTCTTCTTTACTTACTTTTCCATCTACTTGTCCTGTCCCTCATTCCAAATCAACAGTCTTTCGTCAGCAGTGTAATGATCTTATACTGCTTTGTTCTCTGTGTTCTTGTTTCTTTACTTTGTAAAACGCAAGTGATCATTGCATTTCCAAGCACCTTTCTGATTAATATGTTGGATGTTGTAGAGCAAATGAAAAAGTTCAATCATTTGCAAATCTTGTGGAGCTCTTCCCTCCCTCCTTTTACTGAGTATTCTTTCTGTCCTGAATGTCACATTGGCCTGATTTTCAGATTTTAGCCAGAAAAGAACATGAATATCTCTGCATTAAAAAGATAGCTTGGAGCTAGGCACAGTGGCTCATGCCTATAATCCTAGCACTTTTGGAGGCAAAAACAGGAGGATCTTGGTAGCCCAGGAGTTGTTACAGACCAGCCTGGGAAACATCATGAAACCTCATCTCTACAAACAATAAAAAATTAGCTGGACATGGTGGTGCATGCCTATGGTCCCAGCTACATCAAAGGCTGAGGTAGGAATTGAGCCTGGGGAGTTGAGACTGCAGTGAGTCATGATTGCACAACTGTACTCCAGCCTGGACAACAGTGTGAGGCCCTGTTTCAAATAAATAAACAAAAAGACAGGTTGAGGGCATTCTCACTGCTTTCAAATTATCTGCTGTTTCTGAGTTGGGATGGAAGTCAGGTACGTACTGTGAAAACATCACTATGATGTCCTATTGAACGTCAGCAGAATTTGAAGGTCTTCTTCCTTGCTTTTTGGATGATGGAAATTCCTTTTTCTTTCTCCCGCTCCTTAAATGGCATGTGATTTTCTGGACCTGGTGGTAACTGTGTGGGCTCCCCTTCCCTTTCCATTCTACAGACTTAAAAAATTGCACCAAAGCTCAACAGTGAAAGAATGCTTTGTTTACATGAATATTGCATAAGATTGTATTTAATTTTTTTAACACTCCATCATATTCTCTTTCTGTGATGTATGTCAGTCCTTGGAGTATTTGCTTGTTTGTTTTTGTTTTTGCAAACAGTGATCTGATGAGTGCCAAGATATCTCTTTATTTCCATTGGATCATTGGACTTTGAAATCACTGTACATAAAAACTGCTTCTCCATCCAGATTTCTCTGGTCTACACCAAAGTGTTTATTTTTCTTTTACATGAGTTGGTTCATATATAAAGTTCTCAAACTACCATTTAGAGGGCGTATATGTTTCCTCCATTTCTGCTTCTCTCTCTTATGATTTAATATAGGAAAGACCTGAAAGGAAATAGGAGTAGGTTTGAGTTCAAGTTCTTCCACTTCCTGGCTGTCTGACCTGGGGCATGTCTCCTGCCTTCCTGAGAGGCAGCTTCCTCCTCTGTACATCTGCCTCTCAGTTGGGAAGCTCATGGGCAAGATGTGCATGTGCCATTTAAAGTTACGTACTACACAAATACAAATGAAATACGATATTCAACATATTCATATTTTGTTTCCAAGACTGCTGTAGCTCACAAGGAATAAGAGTTTGGTCTCGTTTTGGTCTGGATTTCATATGACCAATTCACCTGCATCTCCTACCTCTTCACCCACCTCTCCCGGGTGATAGATAAGCACTTCTTTATTTCCTGTATTAACTTTTTAAGTTCTACGCTTCGTTCACCCAGGGATCTATGCTTTTTTTCTGAAATATTGGTTAGAAGTGGATCTGGGAAAATAGTCCAGGCCCTAAGAGTCAGACAAGACTGCATCTTAAGCATTCCTTATGAATGAGAGTCTCCCCTGTGCTCAGAGGTAACCCAGAGCAGGGGTGTCTTCAAACTTACTCAGTAACCATCTGCCTGTGTGGTTTGGCCCAACTATATTACTCAGCTCTTTATGTGACTGGTGAGTGCAGGGTCAAAGTATCTAAGGAGCACTTAAAAGTTACTTATTGGCTTCTTTCTCATTCTCCGGCATTGCCAATAAACACAAAAATCAAACTGTTTTGTCCAGTTGGGGGAAAAAAGAGTATTCCCATACGATTGTGTTGAATTTACCATGTACTAATTCTTAAGCCTTCTGAGACCTTCCTAAACCCTGTGGACTCTACATACTATAAAATATTAGCATGTACCCATATGACATCATAAATATATGTCTGCTGTCAACATTTTAAAAATTACTTCTATAATTTTGTTTTGAAATTCTCAGTAGATGTCATTCATTATTGTAAAGTGAGATACTATAACCTAAAATTGTTTTCAAATATAAAAAACAATTTAACAATTGACATTGATACAGTGTTTCCCTTTATATCTGTTTTAACTTTTTAAAAATTTATTTTGAAATTGTTTTGGAAATCCTGTAATTAACAAATTTATTTTTAAGTTGTCTATGGTTGTATAGCCCATATATATGTGTGTATGTGTGTGTGTGTATCAGAGGCCACAGACATTATCCCTGTGCTATGCAATGGACAACACAGACCTGTCTAGAGCAGAATTTTATTTCTAAGAACAGTTATTTTTTCTTTCTCTCTGTAATGCTATAGTAAATAGTATAGCATTTTCGCAGAGGTTATACAAACCTCTCCAAAGTTATTTTAGTTTTCATGTTGAAATGATTTTTTAATTAAAAAAAATACTTTCATAGTGAAATTGATCAGTCTGTGCCAGTCATCTTCTCTGTATTTCTGATAATTTCTTCTATGGAATCATTTATAACAGATATCTTTTGTTGTTATGGTCTAGCACCTTGACAGTCTATATCTGATGGTACTGGGACACTTTTTAGTGGTGTTTCTGGCATCTTATGTCTTCTTGGAAGCAGGCAGTTGGAGCAGAAACTTGGCTCTAGACTTTTTTGAACACCTTCAGGCATTGAAACATATCTTGTTGTTCCCAGTTTTTAATCACATGTATCCTTCTTCTAGATTGGAGAGGGTTTGGAGGGAGACTTTCTTTCTTTGTCTCACCCACGTCTCTATCTCCCGTTCAGTTAGTAGACATAAGTTGTGATAAAGCAGGGACAGGCCTTTGTCTAGTATGAAAACAATGAAAAGGGCCTGCTTAGATACCCTATCCAACTTTCTGTCTGTCTTTCTGAAGCTGTTTTTAGGAGAAGTGCCACTTCCAATGTTTGATTTGATCCTTTGCTCCAATTCTTAAGGTGATGCTGCAGTGTAAAGACACTTGGGCAGCCTTATCTTCCTAAAGACTTTAGGACTAGGTTTTCTTGAGACAAAGTATGTAAGGAGATGCCACATTGTTATGCCCTTTTCTTAGATTTTCAGTTTTCTTTGGACAAACTTCAACCCAGGAAATTTCAGTACATTGGAGCCTTCCTGAAATAATTTTCAAAGTGTAACAATTATGCCATATATTTTTAAAATGGTATAGGCTGAAATATACTAATGATAGAATTTACTATGCAAACTAACTGATAGAAAGCATAAGAAATTTTTACTAGAAGTACATTAGCAACATCTATACATGACTAATAAAATCCATTAATTGCCTATGAAAACCAGTACCCTAATTTCTGCCCTGTTCATTTCTAATGATAGCTTTAGGGCCCATGTGGCCTGTGATCCTGTTAGCAGCAGGGATGCTTTGACTGGAGCCTTGATGCTGATACTTACCAAAAGAATTCTTTATCTCAAAAATGGTTTCTTTGCTCAAGATAGAGTTTTCGGGGGCAAACTTTTCTACTACTGTTTTTAATATACTGTCCCTTAATGTATATTTAAAGCCATCTGTGTATTTTAGAGCCCAAACTAATAATTACAAGGATTCCTCACTCGGCATATATTTGGTTCCTGAATTTTGGGTGACAAGTAGTTGGTTTGGATAGTGAGGGTTCAGACACTGAAGGATGCTTGTGTATGATTTATCTATTAATGATTTACTCTGAAAATAAGAAAATGGATAATATCTGACCAATTCCAGTGGTCTAGAAACATTAACCTTCTTTCAAAGAATTTGGCATTTGAAAAAGTGATCTATTGCATGCCTTGATCTGTTATCTATTGCTGTCTTTATGGGACTTTTTCTTCTTTGTGGTCTTATCTCAAAGCTGGCTTTGTTCTTTTGCTCAGTGCAATAGCCAAATAACTATTGCTGATGTAATACTTTGCACACATGCACACACAAAGTATACATGTTCTGGTTTATATTCCTGGCTTTTTGCAGCAAATCTTATTTGGCGTGTGGTAAGCTTCTGGGGCATGGGATTTCAAAACCGAAGTCAACTAGATGCCAATTGTATGTACCCTGCACAGCCATGGTGGGGGAATAGATGTCCAAATTACTCCTCAGTAGAGGCAAGAGGGCTGTTTTTCATTCTGTAGCTCATCTTATTGTGTTAAAATATGTGAGATTAATATAAGTTTAAAAACAGACTTACTTTGTATATCTGATTGAGTCTGCCTCTAGAAAAATTCAAAATTGGATAGGGAGGATGAGGGAAAATAGCTCTTTCAAATTTTTATGTCAAATCAGGCAGTAAAATGAATAAAGATTTTTAGCTGCCACATAAAAAATATGCAAATAGACATGAATATTGAACACATGCATGGGGGCTCTTAAAATGCTCAGACAGTGAGTCAGCAGAAAAGAATTAAGGCCATCCGTGTGGGGAGAAGGGGTGCATTGTCCTGGTGGCTTTGGGAAGCACAACAGTCAAACTGGTCCTGAAGAAATCAAGGAAAGGACACGGTAGGTCTGGAAGAAAAGTCACAGAATTTTTAAAGTCGTCTAAGATCTTAAGCTGTATCTTATAGTACGCATCTTGTTTATCTAAATTCCTCTTTAAAATTGTCCTCCACGACAGTCTGCTGTAAATAGGTACTAAGGGTAATGATTACCTGTTTAAAAAGAGCATTCACTAGTTCTGTGAGCATTGCCCATGAAGCACTTGGGATCTGTTACCTGCTTTGGGCTGAAAGAGACTCTGGAAGAAAGGGAATGACAAGGAAATGAAATAGCCTGAGAGAAGCAGGGTTAGCGGGGAAGAGAATAAGAGGGGAAGCAAGAATGAACACCACATGTGTAGAAACAGGAAGGAAGAAAGGGGAGAGTGAGACAGTGGAGTCCAAGCTGGGCATGAAAGAATGATGGGGGCCATTGTATTTGAGGAAGCAGGAAAGACAACTGGAAAGAAAGACCCTTAAAGAGAGAAAAAGAAAGTGACACAGGAAGTCTATTTAAAACAGGCCACGCTCATTAATTAGGCAGCCTGGAACACCCAGTTGCCTATCAGTAGGACACGTGAAGAAACGGAGGGTGCATGTTCTCAGCTTCATCCTCTTATTTTTCCTCTCATGTCCCATGAGTCAACCCAAAGCAATTTTCTATGTTCCCCAAGCCATCTAAATGCATGCTACCATTCCCTTTGATTGTCTAGAGTGCAAACTGTCTCCCTCACTGACCCCATGACATTATGACCAATCAGTAATACAACATCACAATCAATGCAAGAAAAACTCTTAGCAGGTCACAAATTCCCTGCTAACTGGGTAATGGGTAATAAAAGAGTGATGGCGTGGGTGTTCTACATTTTTGTTGTTGTTGCTAGTGTTTGCTCTTTGCAAATTCTTGATGCAGAGCAGAAATAGGGAGTTTTGGCTTCTTAAAACCAGTTGATCAGAGGATTCAAATGGCTGTGCAGGTGACTACAGAAAATCCTTGCTACAATGTGAATCTACTTCTATACATTGAGGCTGTCTTTTTTTTGGCTTGTAGGTAGAAGAACGGTCAAGGCTCAACCGGCAAAGTTCCCCCGCCATGCCTCACAAGGTTGCCAACAGGATATCTGACCCCAATCTGCCCCCAAGGTCGGAGTCCTTCAGCATTAGTGGAGTTCAGCCTGCTCGGACACCCCCCATGCTCAGACCAGTCGATCCCCAGGTACACTCTGTCCTCCATTCCATCAGGCATACCAATAAGGTGCACAAGAAAACCTATTAAAAGCCTAAGGAATTGTGACATGGATTCAGGCATAGGACAATCAAATTATGACCCTTAATATAGAGTTCATATACTCACCAATATTGAAGAGTAGAAGAAAAGGTAAGAAAGAAAAAAGCATCACCCTTAAATGTGAGGCAACCGCAAACTCACTTCTATGTAAATTGGCCTCCCTGGGGACCCATAGGAGTTTCTGCAAGATAAGAATAAGCATCCTTTTAGTTACAATTATGAAAACTAGAATTCATAGAGAGCTTTGAGGTGTGTGTATGTGTATACTCTATATATATATAAGATTTCATTTTCTTGGGACTTTGCCATGAGCCTGAAACTGGAAAAATTAAATGGACTTGGTTAAGTAAAATTACATCTTCTAAGCCAGTGGTTCTCAAAGTGTAATCACTGACCAGCAGCATCAAGCCTCCCCCAGGAACCTGACAGAAATGCAAATTCTTGGGCCCACTTCAGACCAACTGATCAGCAACTCTAGGGGTGGGGGAGGCCTGGCAGTCTGTGATTTAACAAGCCCTCTAAGTGACTCTAACGCACTTTGGAGTTTGAGAATGACTATTTACAGCTATATGGTAAAGAAAAAAAGATTATTCCACTTTTAGGAAAGGAGGGGGTTTCCAGAAGCTCTGCAGGAATTTGAAGTTATAGATGCTAAAATGAAATATGAAGTGAAATAGAATATGGAATTCCATGAAAAATAATACAGTTTCTTCTGCCAAATGTCTTAAATTTCTTCCAAGCATCCACCTGTGTTAAGACTTCCATTAAATATTTTAAGGTCACCTTTGAAATATGTAATGCTGTTTGAACTGGACCAGTAGTGATAAAATCAAGTATTCTTTGTGTTCTAAGTTTGCTTTTAATAAATGAAGTCCAAGATATTTCAGCACCAGCCAGCTTGGCATATCTTCCGCTTGGTTGTTTTACATTTGTATATAATTCTTTCATGGCTAACCCACGAAAAGATACATTTTTTACTGGAATTTCTATTTTAATATACAAATATCCTCTTTTAAAACCCCTGACTTTGACCTTGGTAGGTACTTTGGCCTTTAAAAGGGAAGAAGAGAGGGAACATTTACTTTATGAGAGCAACCAGAGAGTGAAAATATAAATATTCTGTGACGGTTAATTCACTTAAGCATTGTGCTTCAGTTTTGGGTTTGTGACGTGAGGTTTTTTTTGTTTGTTTGTTTGGCGCATATATATATATATATATATATATATATATATATATATATATATATGTAATTTTACTTATTTATTTTGAGATGGAGGCTCACTCTGTCACCCAGGCTGGAGTGCAGTGGTGTGATCTTGGCTCACTGCAACCTCTGCCTCAACCTCTTGAGTAGCTGGGATTACAGGCATGCACCACAACAACCGGCTAATTTTTTGTATTTTCATAGAGAAGGGTTTTCACCATGTTGCCTAGGCTGGTCTCAAACTCCTGAGCTCAGGCAGGCTGACCACCTTGGCCTCCCAAAGTGCTAGGATTACAGGCATGAGCCACTGCGCCTGGCCAATATTATTATTTAATATATCTAATGATATTTAAAATTAATATAAATCCAATGGGTTCTGTTCTTGTTGAAGCTTAACGTTCAGCTAAACTGGGCTTTGAGGATTTTCTCTGAACCGTCATTAATAACATTCCAGGACTTAAATTTCAAACCAAACAGGATTTGGTTTGACAGGTCCTTGCACAAAATAGGTATTAAACTAATGTTTGTTGAATTAACAGTTTCATTTAGAAGGCACTCTAGATTTTTTACCAACCAGGATTTATGGGACACCTTCCCCATGCTGGGCACAGGGCTAGCCCAGGGGATACAATGGCAAGCAGGACAGACATAGCTCCTGTCTCCAGGGAGCTCACCTTCGTGAAGTAATAGGGGACACACTTAGATAAGCACTATGAGGGGTGAGCAGCGCTGTGGCAAAGTGGTGCTCTGCACTCTAGATTTTAATGATTTGTCTTTAAGAGCCACAATTTCACTGAAAGACTGCCTGTCTTCCCTGCGTGAACAATATCATCACATGCCTAGTTGGCCCAATTGTGATACTTGACTCAGAAAGTTACATCCTGGTGTCAAGAGGTATGTGACAGCAGAGATGGTAAGAGCCAGCACAGCAGAAGGTAGAATATCATGGAGGTTAGGTGTGTGGCCTATGGGTGTAGAATGTGTGGGTTCCAGCCCATGCTCCAGCAGGTGTTAGCTGTGCAATCTAGGGTATTGCTTAACCTCTCTGCACCTTACATTGCTCGGGTGTAAAATGAGGGAAATGATTATGTCCACCTCAGGATGGACTCATTGAGTTCACAGCAAGTAAGATATTCTGAGCAGTTTTTGTTTTACAGAGCAACACTCTCCAAAGTGAAAGTTGGGGGTTTTAAAGGAGGAAGTTCATAATATTAGAAAAGAAGTGCTTGTAAAATATATTGTATTGCTGGTCAATAAATATTCACTAAATATACAGTAGTTATTGTTATATTTCACTTATTCCACTGACTTGGCATTCCCAAGTAAATCATTTAACTTTGTGCCAGCCCCACATATCGTTCCAATGGAAAATTTTGAAGAGCTGTTAAAAACATGCTATATATAGTTGTGACAGACTCTCCGTAGTCCAATTTTTGTGCCCTTGAACTTTTTTTTCCTTCAGCTGATTGAGGTACTAGCTGATCTGCTTTCTCTTCTAATAGTGCTGTTTTTATGTTGTTTTGATGCTTAGATCCCACATCTGGTAGCTGTAAAATCCCAGGGACCTGCCTTGACCGCCTCCCAGTCAGTGCATGAGCAGCCCACGAAGGGCCTCTCTGGGTTCCAGGAGGCTCTGAACGTGACCTCTCACCGCGTGGAGATGCCACGCCAGAACTCAGACCCCACCTCTGAAAACCCTCCTCTCCCCACTCGCATTGAAAAGTTTGACCGAAGCTCTTGGTTACGACAGGAAGAAGACATTCCACCAAAGGTAGTATTTACTGGGGTGTTTCTTATCATCACCAGCATCACTGATGATGATGATTTTTACCACTATTCCAGACCTTTTGTAGTAGTGGAGAATGTGACAATGCCAAAGCACTTTCCCTTCTCATATTTGTTTTGGCCCCTCTTCATTCCCCAGCTAAGATTTGGATTGCCATTTACCATGTCTGACCTTTATTTTCCCCCAAAAAAACTGAATTCAGGTAGGTTGAAGCATATATTCTATGTCCAAAATTAGAACTCTCAACCCTAAGTATTCCAGACTTATTTTGCTGTCCATATTAAGAAACAGAGTAATGGATATTTCATTGATGACTGCATCTACATCAAGACAATGGAAAACCTCCAGATAAAAAGTAGAGAATTCATGTATTCCTATTTTTAACAACACAAAGTGAAGCCAGATTTCAGGGATTCAGAAGATAGTATTGTTCTTAGGATATTTTATTTGCCCCCATTTTAAGGAAAGCTCTTTCTAGGTCAAGTCATAATTTAATTTCATCTTTAATGAACTACTGAGGAAAATCTTTGGGGTAAAGTGACCAGCCATTTCACTGGATAGAACATCTCTGAGTCTGGGTTCTTTTGTTTTCCTATACCAAGTCATTACTCATTCCAAGAAATGTTCTGGAATGTGGCTGTGTGCATCTGGCTACAGACAACCTGGAAGTATTTCAAAATACTGGAGATATTTTTGGCATCAGATTCTTCCTGGTTCAGGAATCCCCCTTTTCCTAAGCTTAGCTTAGAGGCTGTGACAAGTGGAATGTTCCACAATTTCCAGAAAATGCCATTGTTAATTCCAGAAGAAAAAGAAGCTTTTGCTCAATGATTTACGAATACATGTCCTTATCTTCCTCTCAAAAGGATATTACAAACTGAGTCCCATTATTTTGAAAATAGCCAATAATTTTTTGAGATTCTTTGCGGAAGCAGAAATGCCATCATAAAAAGGGGTACATAGGGAGCCAAAGTCAATATGGAAAATAAGGTGGGCAGAGGAGCAGACACAATCAATGGAAAAATTGAAAATTGAAGTTATTGGTCCACTCTCTAAAAATATGCGGGCATACATGCATAAAGCTAGGAGAATATTTTAGATGAATTCAAACACTTAGGTTTTAAGTATTTGTTAGGCTGTTTTTTCTCTACAACTATTTACATTTATGGTAAGGAAAAGAAAAAATAGTAATAGTATTTAATTTGAACACGTGGTAGCATTGATTTGGTGATTCTACTTTACTGACTCATCTTTACGTTAAAATGAATAATAAAATTAAATTTTCAAAACAAAGGATGACACTTTACACTGAAAGCAGTTTCTATGCTAGGATTCATAATATGATTCTTTTAAATAATGGACTCCTTTAGTGCACTTAAAATATTTAATTTCATTTTTTAAATGTCTGTTTTATAAATTGGGATATACTTGAATTCTACCTTAGGTCCCTGCCAAATAAGATAATACATTTTCTTCCCAGGTCTTTTTGGTACTTACACAGCCTTTTTGAAGATCCTTCCAGTATTTTCAGTATTAATTCTGCTTTGTATTATGTTGTGTTAAGTTCGCTAATTAACCAAAACACAGTGCTTTTGGTGTTTGGTTTTAGCACATAATTGCAAATCAATTAAAAAGTAGAAACATTCAGGATTTATTGTAGTAGGTTCTCTGAGCTCATCAACAAGTGACTTATGGCCCAAGCTCTGTCCTGATATTCTAGTTTCTCACCAGATTTCATAATTTCCTTATCTGTTTATTAGTTGTGATATGAGCTAAAAGTGGAACTTGGCTTTATCTGGCTGGTTGTCAGCTGATGCAACTTCCAATGAGTTAACGGGTGCTCTAAAGAGATTCCTGGTATTCACCACTTTTGTCCAGCTGAGAGAAGAGAGGTCAATTATTTTTAGCCCAGTGTATCAAAATTATTAGCTTTACCTATCATTAAATTTGTCTTTAAGATTGAGCATGATCCTCTTTAATGGTTGCTGAATTTGCTCATTGTTTTTTGCCAGTAGACCTTTGTTTGATTTCATTTAGGGAGTTTAATATTTCTTTGAGGAATGAATGAAAGATAGTTCTTTACTGTTTCAGTTAGTTTCTGTGGCTTCTGGAAAATCATCGGAAAGGAGGATTTTCTGATGATAGGAAGCTACTTTATGGAAAATATTTCTGAATTCTGGTTTCTTCCAGGTGCCTCAAAGAACAACTTCTATATCCCCAGCATTAGCCAGAAAGAATTCTCCTGGGAATGGTAGTGCTCTGGGACCCAGATTAGGATCTCAACCCATCAGAGCAAGGTAAGGAAGGTGGTTAAGGTAAAAGAAAAAGCGCCTACCCACCTTTGTCATTAGTGCTTTCCTAGAAATGCCTGTGTTCTTTTTTCACTTCAGAGGCATATTGGCTTTCCACCTTCACTGTAAACTTTGATGGTCCAGAACACACGCCTTTGATTTCTTCAGTAGCTTTTCAGAAAAATCAGTATACAGTGGGGGCTCATGAATTAATTAATTAATTAATAATTAATGGGGCAACCCAGAAACCAATCAGATGTACCTTAGCTGACAGCTTTTAACATCTGAGAGTAAAATTGCAAATATAAATCTGGTTGCAATACCCTAAACCAATACTTCAGAAACTACTTTATAGAGTCAGCAGAGCAGAATGACCTGTTATGGCCTGGTTCGAGTGATTTTCAGTATCAGGTCAAGAAACATGCCCTGGGAACCACTGAGACATTACAAAGCAATTACCAAGGAAATAGTGACCAACTTCAGAGCTTCTCCAGCTTGGCAGTTATAGAAGGACTAGCTCTTATGAGGAAGTGGCCTCTTTGGCATTACAAAGGTCACTGAAACACGGTTATGCTTCTACTCTTGCTCCGTGACCTCCTTCCAGAATTTCCTATCAATACCACACATTCCTACAGTCAGGAAGCTGCATCCACTTCCACTGGTTGGTGTAGAGGTCTCAAGAAGCTGGAAAGTAAACAATATCTTTACAGTGTCTGAGCAGATTTTCTATGGTAACAGATGCTGTTTGCTGTTATAGTTCATCAAGCTTCCCTCAGATTTTTCATGATGAATACATCACTTTTTAGGATCAACTGAAATAGCAAATGGCCTCTGCGAAGGCTATAAAAAGGATGTGCTTTGGCAAGCTGTTTTATTCTTCATTGTGTTCACAATAAAAGGACCCTCCTTTGCTAGTAAGGGAGAATGACTGGAAATGAAGCTTATGATTACGTGCACATATCTTTAAAATATGGAATGCTTTAAATCATAGAGCTTTAATTTTCCTCTTCACATGAAAAGCCTTAGGGAAGGGGTCAGTCCAGCAATAACTTGGAACTATACTAAGAACATGAATCCCTTTAGGGCAAAGATGCTGGCCCATTCTGCTTGGAATTACCAATTGCAAGAGGCTCTGAATGAGCCATTTTTTTTTTTTTGAGTGACTTGTCAGGTTCACACTGAGCTGGTGTTGCTAAGCAGCTAAGCAGCACTGAGGAAGACTAGGACCACTGCGACTGGGCAGCCAGAGGAACGCTACTGCTGGATTGCCAGCCTGAACTTTATCAGTACCCCTGTTCAAGCAGCAATCAATCCCTAATTATTAGTGCTGCTGCTGCTTTCGAACCCTGCCCTTGGGGTTCTGTTCATTGGATCAGTTGCTTGGAATTTTAGTTTCTTTAGATCAAGCATTATTTCAACTTTAAGTATGTTTTCCTTCTGTCAACCAAAATGAGAGAGAACTATCATTATATAGTGAAATAAAAAGCCGCTTGCATTCCCTCTGAAGTGCTATTTTAATGACATTAAGGCCCAAGATAATTGGTATTTGATCATCAGTGGCTTACAAAATAATGAGCTTTTTCTCCTGGAACCACTTGGATATTATACTTTATCCGAAGAATGCTGACTCTGTCAGAGACGGCTAACATTTTTCTACTTACAGAGGAAGGGAGGAAGTGAGCTAAGAGGTCATAGTTACTTACCTACAATGAAAGTCAGAGATTGGGGAGGGGGGGTGAAGAAGCCTCTTCTCTGCACATACGACAGTCCTAGAGAACACCCCTTTTTATGCTATCATGTATCTCCTTGTGACCACCATTTCAGATGTAAATCAGATTTCTGGCTCTAGATTGCATTGCGTTTTTAAAAGCTTCAGGATTTGGTTTATTTACTGTGATAGGAATAGCTTTAGTTCACCTTTGTTGCACGGTATAATCACCACAAGTTTAGTGACCCGAAAGAGTAACAGTTTAATATTTCTCACGATGCTGTGGGTTGGCTAAGGAGTTGCGCTGCTCTCGCCGGGGCTCACTCGTGCAGTTGCACTGAGTGGTTGGGTCGGCTGTACCTCTTGCTCCACGTGGTCTTTCATTATGGGCTTCTTTACCCTTTGATGATCTCAGAAGAGCATTTAAAGAGGGAAAGCTCCAATGCACAAGGACTTTTGAAACCTTTTGCTTACATCATCTTTGCTGATATTTCATTGGCCATCACAAGTCACTTGGCTAAGCCCTGAGTCAGTATGGAAAGGAACACCACAGGGACATGGACACGAGGAGATGTGATTTTGCCATTACAGTGACACAGACCCCTTCTCTATGTTGGTCCTAATGAAGTCCTCATAGTTCTTTTTGTGCCATTTGTCAGACGACCACCCATCCATAAGGCCATTTCAAAAGGTGTTGCTTTTAAATCCTCTGCCCTTTTCAGTGCTTCTAAGCTTTCCTGTACTTGGTCGATGTTCTGTTTCTTACCAGTCTTTTCTTTGAAGTGACTCCTAAGGCTGACTAGAAAATTAGCAAAGTAAAAATGGATTCCTGTAAAAATTACACAGCTAATAAGGGACAGATTCAGGATGTTTTGTTCTTATCATTCTTTAATTCACTTGTTAAATTCAGCAAATATATACTGAAGCTGCATGTGGCCCTGGGACCCAGTGACTCAAACCAAGACTGCCTGACTCCAGGGCCCAGGGGTCATAATATCCCTGCTGCTCTTTGGGACTACGGGTACTAATAGGGGCAAAACTATATTTCTTGCCTCACTCTCTTATTTTGCTTTGAAGTAAATATGTGAATTAACTAAAAGAGGCAGAACCTCTCTCTTCTCCTTCTGTGGCAAACTTAGGGACCACAAGTTTAACATAATAGTGTTTCAGGCTGGGCGCGGTGGCTCAAGCCTGTAATCCCAGCACTTTGGGAGGCCGAGGCGGGTGGATCACGAGGTTAAGAGATCGAGACCATCCTGGTCAACATGGTGAAACCTCGTCTCTACTAAAAATACAAAAAATTAGCTGGGCATGGTGGTGCGTGCCTGTAATCCCAGCTACTCAGGAGGCTGAGGCAGGAGAATTGCCTGAACCCAGGAGGCGGAGGTTGCGGTGAGCCGAGATCGTGCCATTGCACTCCAGCCTGGGTAACATGAGTGAAACTCCGTCTCAAAAAAAAAAAAAATAGTGTTTCAACCCAGAAGGAACCTGGACCCTCAAGTCACCACTTAGAGAACCATCAAGGAGAGCACTTCTACCGGTGTATACTGTGATGTGAGTGGGAATAAACCATTGTACTAAATCAATTTTTAAATAAAAAAACAAGGCAGAGCCTAATGGTTAAGAAGCTCAGTTTTTGCTTCCTGTATTTAGTAGTAATGAACTCCAGTTATTAGTTGCAAGATGTTTTATAGTAACTGCAGAATGTGCGATATTTTTTGATAGTTTGGGAAACAATGTTTAAATCAGTAAACTACTTACTCCCCTGAATAGAAAACTTTTGAGTTAAAATGGTCATTATGTAAGCATGTACCTATACCTTGAGAACAAAAGTAAAGCTTTTACTATTTTGAATATCCTTCCTTCTCCCCCAAAAAAACCCCTATTATGTCACTCTTGCACTGTCTGTATGCACCACACCAAATCAAAGAGCCCTATAGAAAATATATTTTTAATTATATACATTATTAAGCAGATACAGCTGTGCAACCATCGGTTGGTCAAAAAGTGTTATTGGGCAATGCCTGCAGTTCCCTGCCTTCTGCCTGATTAGGGCAACTTATTACTTATTTCTTTATTTAGTGAACATCTTTGGAGCGCACACACACATATGTCTCATATGTATATGTCTCACTTATTCATATATATATATATATACACCAATTTAAACAGTGTAACAATTCTGTGAGGTGCTGACTATAATCACCCTCATTTTACAGAAGGAGAAATTGAAACTAACATGTGTCCAAGGTGAACAAAGGTGGTAAGTGGTAGAGCCAAGAAAGTCCACATTCTTAAGCACCATTCTGGGCTAATTTGTTCAGCATGGGCGCAGCTTGCTTTGCTGCCTCATTTTCCCACGGCAAAAGAGCCCTTGATTTGTCGACTGACACAGCACCATTTTGTCCTCACTACTCTCACCATGTGCTTTAGTGAGTCTGTTAACAGCTCCTCTTGATCTGTTTTTTACGCTGATGTTGTGGCATTCACTACCGTTTCAAAGCTGTTGTCCCATGAGACCCATTTATATAGCAAACACTTCCCTTCTGGAGCTAGACCTAGTATCATCAGATGCTTTTGATAGTTCCCTTCCTAGATGGCTAAAGTCTGGGAAATAACACAGTCACCCTGACCCCATGCAACTGTTCCCTGCCTTTCCTTCTCATGCGTATATAGCTGGGAATTGCTCAGACTGCAGTACCAAAGGTAATTCTCACCTGTTATATAAATTCCCAAATGCCTCATGCTGTGAGGGTGATCAGTTGAATTCAAATCAAGATTTGATTTGATTTGATCATTTAAAAATACTATTTGTAGGCCAGGCATGGTAGCTCACGCTTGTAATCCCAGCACTTTGAGAGCTTGAGGTGGGCAGATCACCTGGTCAAGAGATGGAAACCATCCTGGCCAACATGGTGAAACCCTTTCTCTACTAAAACTACAAAAATTATCTGTGCATGGTGGCGTGTGCCTGTGATGCAGCTACCTAAGAGGCTGAGGCAGAAGAATGGCTTGAACCCGGGAGGCAGAGGTTGCAGTGAGCCAAGATCACACCACTGCACTCCAGCCTGGAGACAGAGTGAGACGCCGTCTCAAAAAAACAAAAACAAAAACAAAAACTATTTTTAAATGTTCCAGGCACTTTCATCCTTATCATTGATGCATGTATTCTTTTTAAAGTAAATTATAACTTGATCAAACAATTACATTCAGAATATGAAAAGATTCTAATTAACTCAGAAATACCCAGTCAAACCCAATGACTAAATGATTAATTTCAAAAAATAATTCCCTGTCCCATCTCAAACCTATTTTCTTATGGCTCATTTCTTCTCATTGGCTGTGTCATCAAAGAACAAAGTCAAGTGAAATTTGGCTGTCAGCCAGTTAATTAAAGACTTGGCCCAAGCATTTGGGCCACAAAATTACTTTGTAATCCCAATTTTCTGTTTTGACTTTTTATGATTCAAATGAATGGAATAATTGCCACATTTTCACTTTACTGGGTGTTTTATAGACCAAACAGCATTATCTGCAGGATAGCAAATGTCTGAACTAAAAATTAGCATTTAAAGAAATGAATTTGGATGTTTTCAGGTTTTTACACTTTCAGATCTGAATAGGCTCAGTTAAGATGTGAACAAGGGATATCTATTATTTCATGGGATTCTTCTGAAATTGATCCTCTTAAGCGCATTTATCTCAGACCCCACAGCCCCAAGGCCAGATGATTTAATACATAATAAAGGAGAGAAAAATGTGAACAGCATGACATTTTCTCAAAGCACTCATGTTTTACCAAAAGATAAGGTAGAAAAGGCATTGTAAAGTTTTCTCTATTTCTGTATGGTAACATAGAGACTAATACTTCTTTCAGGCTCCAGCAGCAAAAACAGCAATCTATTAAGATCAGCATCCACACTGGTTAGCTCTGGTGAGGAGAACTTGTACTAATGAGGTCCTGGTCAGGGATTTAATGCCCGTGGGATCCAATTAGCTTCACACAGGAAGAGACTCTGAGCCCAGTCAGGACGTACGCTCATCCCAGCTGCTTCTGCGAATGCCCATTTCCTTTTTACACAGGGCAGCCCTGCCCCGGCCTCATCATCTGACTTGGCAGCAGCCTCCTAACTGGTCTGCCTGCCTCTCTCCTGGTCAGTCATTGACGTGTACCACAGGAGGTACACACTGTCCTCTAGGCTCTAAAGGCCATTGTTGTACAACTCACCCTTTTCTTCTGATCACTCTACTCTCCCAGGTTTCCACACACAGACTTGGTACTCGATTTAGCTGGTGTCGTCTCTGCACCCACATGCATCAGGAACAACAACCCAGCCCTGCGTCTGCTCCAGCTGTTCCCCAGCCTTCCTGCTCCCTGCTCTAACGCCCAGTCAAGTTCTTTCTCCTTCATAACACTGCCATCAATCATTCCAGTCTGCACTAATTGTTCCCCAAACTCCAATGATATTTAGTCTCTTTCACACACAACATACAGTTTTGCCATGCTCCCTATTGTCTCCACGGCATAAATCCCTTCTCCATGATTATGTTGTAACTTGACTGTATGCCCTGCAGCCTGTGCTTCTCCTCCATCCCTCATGCTGGCCCAGTAAGTCTCACGAAGTTGGTGCTTAACACAAAAGTTTTGGCTAAATAATCAAAGGAGTGCTACATTAGAACAAGTAGCTCTATCCTGCTACCACACCAGAGCCACCATGGAAGAAAACTCAGAGCATCTATCACCAGCTACCCTCTTCTCAAGAGATTTTTTTTTTAATACAAAGAATATTACATTACTGTTCAACAAAATGAAAGCAACTCCAACAAACCTTAAAATGCTCATCATTCTTAAATCTGCAATACAGTTGGTGAGCAGTACATTTTTTAGCGCGGATATTTTTGGAATTATTTAATTATGCATAATAATTTCTGACCACTATTGTTTAATAAAAGAGGGAGGTGTGGAATAATTCGCTGTTGGGGAATTAAAAGAAATGAGATTGTTTCTTTATTCTAAAAAATGAAAAATTTGAAATGTAGATTATTTCAGAAGTATTACACATTTATCACTGTAGACATTTTCTAAATGAAGAGTATTTCCAGTATGGATCCAAATCTATTTTAGTCAATTTGATGCAAACAATTGTCATAAAAATAGTTACTTCACAAGTTTCATCCATGTCCCTCATGCAAAAGACATGAGCTCATCGTTTTTTTTGTAGCTGCATAGTATTCCATGATGTATATGTGGCACAGAGCTAGTACTTTTAATGTGATGAACAAGAGTTCATCCTGTCCACATCCAGTATCTGGTCAGAAACCCTACAAAGGAAGGTATGACTGTCATCTTCCGTTGATCCCTTCCTCTCAAGATCTTGTAAGTGCTCTCTTTACTTCTTTGCACTGGGGACTGGACTATGTCCATGGCTATCAATGGCAATATCTTTTTCCCCCTAGCTTTACTGAGGTATAATTGACAAATAAAAGGTATATATATTTACAGTGTACATGATATTTTGATATATTTATAAAGTGTGAAATGATTACTAAAATCAAGTTAATATATCCGTCACCTCAAATAGTTATCACTTTTTTGTGATAACAACATTTAAGATCTCTCTTAGCAATTTTCAAGTATACCTTATTATCTGTAGTCACCATGGTGTGCAGATCTCCAAAAGTTATTCATGCTGTCCAACTGAAACTGTAATATTTGACCAACATGTTCCCATTCTCTTTCCTTCCTAGAGCCCCTGGCAACTATCATTCTATTCTCTGTTTCTATGAATTCCATGTTTGTAGATTCCACATATAAGTGAGATCATGTAGTATTTTTGTCTTTTTGAGAGAGAGAGAGAGAGAGATCATATTTTCTTGATCCATTCATTGGTGGACACTTAGGTTGATTCCGTATCTTAGCTACTGTGAATAGTGCTGCACTGAGCATGGGGGTGCAGCTACATAAATATAGTGATTTTTTTTTTCATATTGACTACATTTCCTTTAGATATATACCCAGAAGTGGAATCTCTGGATCCTATGATAATTTTATTTTTAGTTTTTTGAGGAAGCTTCATACTGTTTTTCCATACTGACTGTACTATTTTACATTCTCACCAACAGGGTACAGGGTTCCCTTTTCTCTGCATCCTCACCAACACTCATTATCTTTGTCTTTTGAGAATAGCCATTCTGATAGGTGTGAGGTGATATCTCATTGTGGTTTGGTGGGGTTTTTAAATTTTTTTTTATGTTTTTATTTTTTGAGACATGGTCTCACTCTGTTGTTCAGGCTGGAGTGTAGTGATGAGATCATGGCTCATTGCAGCCTTGACCTCCTGGGCTCAAGTGACCCTCCCACCTCTGCCTCTTATGTAAGTGGGATGACAGGCACATGCCACTATACCCAGTTAATTTTTTGTAGAGATGGGATCTCACTATGTTGCCCAGGCTGGTCTGGAACTTCTGGCCTCAAGTAATCCTCCTACCTCAGTCTTCCAAAGTGCTGGAGTTATAGGTGACAGCCACTGTGCCTGGTTCATTGTGGTTTTAATTTGCATTTCCCTGATGACAGTGATGTTGAGCATTTTTTTTCATATTCCTAGTGGCTATTTGCATGTCTCCTTTTAAGAAATGTCTGTTCAGGTCCTTTCTCCATTTTGAATTGGGTTGTTTTCTTGCTGTTGAGCTGTTTGAGTTCCTTATAAATTTTAGGTATTAACCTTTTTCAAATATGTGATCTGCAAAACTGGCAAGGTCTGGAGAATGTAACCAATGTGCTCTGCCACTTACGCAGCAACCCTGATCTCCGGAGAACTGAGCCCATCTTGGAGAGCCCCTTGCAGAGGACCAGCAGTGGCAGTTCCTCCAGCTCCAGCACCCCCAGCTCCCAGCCCAGCTCCCAAGGAGGCTCCCAGCCTGGATCACAAGCAGGATCCAGTGAACGCACCAGAGTTCGAGGTAAAGCTTTCTCTTACCTTTACCTGGCAACACTGCCTGGGAGGAAAGCTGTGGACAGGGAACAAGGTTAGTTACTTCCTGACTCTGGTCCAGGCATGGCCACCACTGTGTGATCCTGAAGAGCCCCTCAACTGCTCTCAACTCCAGTCTCCTCGGGGGAGTAAGCCACTGTCCCTAATTATGTGTGTGCCATCAGTATGGACAAAATCCTTTCTAATCTCAGACACCAGAGTTTTCCAGGGACATCACCAAATGTCAGTCTTATTTGAAAATACAGTCACTTACCAGTCACCTGAATTTCTGTTTCCATTTGATTGCCAGTTTTCGGAGTTTCACTTACCTGCAAATGTCCTGTATCCATTGCACCAATTGTCCTGTTTAGTATTCTGAACATATAGTTCTCAAAATGAAATTCAGTAAAGACTAATGTAGAATACACTTGAAGGAGGGAATAAAATCTTTGACTTAAAAGACATATTTGACTCCTCTGGTTATTCCTATTAGGTAAAAGTTAGACTCTAAATATATCATTCAAATTATTATTATTATTTGAGACAGAGTTTTGTTCTGTTGCCAGGCTGGAGTGCAGTGGCACAATCTCGGCTCACTGCAACCTCCGCCTCCCGGGTTCAAGCAGTTCTCCTGCCTCAGCCTCCCAAGTAGCTGGGACTATAGGCGCACACCGCCATGCCCAGCTAATTTTTTTGTATTTTAGTAGAGACAGGGTTTCACTGTGTTGGCCAGGATGGTCCTGACCTCCTGACCTTGTGATCCACCCACCTCAGCCTCCCAGAGTGCTGGAATTACAAGCGTGAGTCACTGTGCCCGGCCTCAAATTATTTATCCTTGTTTAGTTTCCATTAATGGGGAAGCCTATGAAAAACATTATTATTGTTCAGGAGATGATACATAATAACACATGTTTCTAGCCAGTTAAAATTCACTCTTCCAGAATTAACTTCTTCAGAAGATAATTTTGCTTCCAAGTGATAAAGACCAGTACTTTGATTGCAATTCGAGAAATACTGACATACTTATAAGTTTGTCGGATGAAAACCTTCAGTTCTTTATTCTTTCTTAGACTCTATTACATGCCACCTCCTATTACCCTTATTTTATCTCCTAATAGCCTTTCAGGGTGTTACATAAGTAAAATCACTGTATTTCCATTTTGAAAAGCTTGATATCTAACATGTGATTGATGTTCACATTTTGAAAGTTGGTAATTAATTTGGAATGAATTACTATCTCTGAATTGGGATATGGACTGGCCAGTAGCTGCCTCTATATGCATTCTTCTGATATCGGTGGCACATCTCAGAGCTGTCTACTATATGTCTTTGTTGCCTTGATCCGAATATAAATTTCCTTAATTTAGAAAACCACCAGGGATGATGGCTTATGCCTGTAGTCCTAGGTACCCAGGAGGCTGAGGTGGAAGAATTGCTTAAGCTCAGGAGTTCATGGCTGCAGGGAGCTATGATGGCCCCACTGCACTTCAGCCTGGGTGACAGAGAGAGCCCGTCTCTAAAAAACATGTAGGAAAGAAAGAAAACAGCCATTCTGTTACCTTTTTTCTATTTATAGGCAACGCCATGTTCTTAGAGCAAATACTTATATAAACCAAACTTAAATACATACCATTTTAATTCCCTGATCTGATCAGGCTTACTTTTTATTTCCTTCAGCCCCTCATTTTTCTGGATTAAAAGGGCGCTTGTATCCCCAGTATGTCCCTGTCCAAGAAAGACCGCTTTATTTTTATTTTATTTTTTATTGCATTTTAGGTTTTGGGGTACATGTGAAGAATGTGCAAGATTGTTGCATAGGTACACACATGGCAGTGTGGTTTGCTGCCTTCTTCCCCTTCACCTATATCTGGCATTTCTCCCCATGCTATCTCTCCCCAACTCCCCACCCCCCACTGTCCCTCCCATATTTCCCCCCAACAGACCCCAGTGTGTAGTGCTCCCCTCCCTGTGTCCATGTGTTCTCATTGTTCAACACCCGCCTATGAATGAGAACATGTGGTGTTTGATCTTCTGCTCTTCTGTCAGTTTGCTGAAAATGATGGTTTCCAGGTTCATCCATGTCCCTACAAAGGACATGAACTCATCGTTTTTGATGGCTGCGTAATATTCCATGGTGTATATGTGCCACATTTTCCCTGTCCAGTCTATCATCAGTGGGTATTTGGGTTGGTTCCAGGTCAAGAAAGACCACTTTAAAAAAAAAATAAAAACAACCTCTCCTACCCTAAATCGCATCTTCTCTACCTGTAGGCTCATAGACTGCAGAGATGCCACTCACTCTGCAGCTGTCAGGGTCCCCGACCTTGCTTTGTACCTCCAGTCTGGGGCCCTTCTCCTGCCCTCACCTCATTCTTTCATTTTTAAAAGGCTGAGACCACTCCCATCCCCAATTAAAAAACATTCCGCCAAATAAAATAGGTTTCTTTTTGTTTTTCCTCTCACAAAATTTCATCAAAATAAGCTATCCTGATTGGACAAGTAGTAAAAAAAGAAAACAAGCATAGAACCTTAACTTAGGTTCATTTAGCACAGTGATTGAGAATAGGACTTTCAGAAATCAGACAGAACTCCTGCTCTGTCCATAATTTCAGTGTGACTTCAGGACAGCTGTGGCATCTTTGCAAGTCTGCGTTCCACTGTAAAATAGGAAAATAGTGCCACATCATTGGGTTGGAACGAGGATTAAATGAAATAATTGACTTTTCTCTATGCCTGACACATAAGAAATGCTCAGTAAGTGGTGCTGGTGGTACTTGCTACAGGTTTGTTTTCTTTTCTAATTGTTACTAGTGACTTCCAGGTGACAAGCCTAAATGTATTTGCCTGAACATTTATTATGTTTTTTATGGATGTGCTTGAGGATTTGCCCAAGTGAATAACAGGCCCACGGAGTAATACCCATGTGATGACTCACCGCAGATGATTCATTCAGAACTTGAGCCAGCCAGCACTTTTTGATGGCCATCTCTTTCTTGGTCCTCTGTTTTTTTCCTCTAGCCAACAGTAAGTCAGAAGGATCACCTGTTCTCCCTCATGAGCCTGCCAAGGTGAAACCAGAAGAATCCAGGGACATTACCCGGCCCAGTCGACCAGCTGTGAGTGCTTTTCTCTGCAAGAGTTTTGAACTCTTAATTTACCAGAGAACCCACAGGATTAAGTAGTTGGGGATACACTCATGATATGAACAAAAATTGTTGAGATTAGTAAACATGGATGCTAGAAACGTCCAGAAAAAAAGTCATACCTGATTTAAAAAGAACAAAAGATATCTTGGATCGCCTCCTCTGCCTTTGGGTATTTGCTGATCATTAGCAGTCCTTTAACAATAAAACAGAAACAACTCATACCATTCTATAATTTCTACTCAGCAACTTTGGCAAAAAGATGTTGAAAGGAGCAGTTAAAAAGACTTGGGCACTTTCTATGAATTTCTTTATCCATTCTACTCTCTCCCCATGTGATTTTCCACATGAATTAATATTAACAGTTTTTCTGCTATTTTTCATGCCTCCAGGACCAGGTTCTTGGGACCAAACTTGTTAAGCAGGGTCCGACAGGGGTCCTAACAACTTAATATCCAGCTTCACTGCTGTAATATGATAGACCCCCAAGGAGCCTTAAAGAAAAAAGTAAGAGTGTGGAGGCTGAAATTTGAAAGTTGATAATTAATTTGGAATGAATTACTATCCACTTAATCTGTTTAAATCTGAGAATCTTCTCTGTGAAATGAACATGAAGCTTTTTGGTTTACTCGTTTTTTAACATCTTAAGGACATATACTGAGAGTAATGAAGGGATTTGCATCATTCTGGGTTGACATTCTCTTTGCCTTTTTGTGTTTATCAGTTGTGTACTAACAACTCCAATTTTGTGTCTAATCTGCTGCCTCTCTTGCTGGCTTTTCATCCTTCTGTGGATTCTTCTGGATTGGGTTCCTCTCATTTCAGAGCTATAAAAAAGCTATAGATGAGGTTAGTATTACCTTTTCTTGGTCATGCTTTCACAAAATGCAAATATTAAACTTATTTCGGGATGTTGACATTCAGAAAGGTGGCCAATGCGAGCACAGATTTGAAGACCACTCATTTGCAGCAATGTGCTGGGAGGAGACCCCCTTCAATGGAGGCCAGCTTTAAGACCCTCAGACCTCCCCATATAGCCTCAGAGACCCTTTTTCTAAGCTACAATGTCACTTTTCCAGTGTTCAGTCTGGCGAATGACAAGTATTCACGCTTTATTAATGGCAGCTTCTCCTTCCAGTATCTTCCAATAGCAAACATGTACTTGCCAACCTTGCTACTGAATGGCTCTCAGCAGTTTTACTAACAAGAAAAGAGATATCATTCTAGGGCACTCCAAATTTAGAGTGTGTGATTTGTGAACAAGGAGTTAGCAGGTATTGTTAGATTAATTTTGTGGGACATTAACAACAGCATCAGCAGCAACATCAGCTTTAGTTAATGAATCCTGGAGAGTTAAGTGACTTTACTTCCTTATCTGTGGAGACATTTTCCATTAGAAAAATATATGGCTTTGTCAATCGTAGGTAGCTTGCTAAGAAGGATGACTGCCTTACTGCTATTTGTCAGACCTGCATGAATACAGCAGAGTAGAATTTGTTTTTTTAAGATCCAGGCCTTGCAAAGAGTCCTAAATGCATGGAATCTAAAGACTACCACATGGCTTTAAGGCTGTAACTCTGCTGAGCACTATTTTTGTGAAATTATATGGAAAAAGCACTGGCTTTGGGGTCAGCAAGCTGCATTCAAATCTTGGCTCCCCCAATAAATAAATGGCTGAGACTAGTCTCATAACCTCTTTAGCGTTTCCTCATCTGTAAAATGAGAATAAAAACACCTCCCCATCTCGCAAGATTGTTTAGGATCATTTAAGGTAATGTGTGTAAAAGCATTTTATGATAGGTAACGTGCTATAGAAAGCCAAGGGTTTGATTAAGGTTTGGGCCAGAGGCATGGAGCTATTTTTGCAGGTGGGAGGAGCATGTTTCTATTCATCTGGTCTTCACCAAAGAGCCTTACTTTTTCAGACTTATGGCCACTTCACTACCCAGTGACTGAGACAGTTATGATCATAGATAAAGGATTGTTGCTTCTAAAAGAACGAGACTCTGCATGTTTGCAGTGTTTGGATGGCATTTATAGAAATGGAAGAGGGCAGTGTTTTTAATTGCTCTGTGCCATGGCCTTGCTTTTCCCTCTCCCTCATAATAGTGAGAAGTACAGGGATTATCACAACTTTTGCCACTTTGCTCCCAGAACAGGTAAAGAAAGACAATGAAGTTCTGGAGTTAGAGTTGCCAATAAAATGGTTGTGCGTGTGCACAACTCAAGAGGAATTACATGAGTTCAGAAATTGGCTTGAGGGGCTGTCATTAAGGAAAAGGTTCTTACCATTTCATCTGGTTAACCCAGAATATTTTAGGCTTTGAAAAATTGCTTTATTTATTTCAGTGTACTGTACCACACTGGAGAGAGATGAGAGGGGGCAATGGATGTGTAAGTGATTATAAATGACTGAGGGGCTGTGAGCTGCATACCACAATCTCTGGAGCCATGTGTGGTTGGAAAGCCCTCCAGGTGACTATCCCAGTCTCTTGAGTATCACTGATCCAAACCACCAAGATAAAGTAGTTCTACCTAACCCGGTGGCTCTCAACCAGGGCTGATTCCTCCACTCCTCCTCCCTTAGGAGACATTTGGCAAAGTCTGTAGACAGTTTTGGTTGTCATAACCTCAGAGTGGGAGGCTGTGGTACTGGCATCTTGTGGATAGACCAGAGGGGTGCTGCCAAACATCTGCGGTGCACAAGAGAACTCCCTACAACAAAGAATGGTCTGACCCAAAATATTCACGGTGCCATAGTTGAAAAACCTTGAACTGCACTTTTCTACCTTCTCCATTCATAGGTTTTTGTAGGGCTTCCCTCTCAATGAATGTTTTTGCAATTTAGATAACTGGGATTGAAATGAAAAACATAAAAATTATTTTTGAAATATTGCTGCTTGTTATTGCTAATTAAATGATTAACTTTTTATAGAAATTAATTTGGGGGAGCATACATTAATTTGACATTACTTTCTAATGGAATATGAGATTTTGCAGCATCGTCTAATTATTTAGTATTTGAAAATATTCTTTTTTGTTACAATTAAATATGTGACACAAAGATTATATACATAGGAAAACACTGTTTTATCACTGTTTTTTAATTATGTAGGAATCAAATTTCAGAGAACATCAATTTAGATTGGATGGAAGTTGAGCAATAACTAGGGGTTCAACCCCCTTTTCCCTCAGATGAGGTTACTGAAACTAAATGGCTTGCCCAATGTCATATCTTTAGAGTTCCTAAAAAGAAAATTAGTTTAATACAAAGAGAAAAACAATAGCTAAAAATTTTTAAACAAAATAATAGTTCAAAAATTGAACTAATGTTTGAATAAACTATGTTGTTTCTAAAAAGGGACCTAAAAGAGGGCCTTTTAGTTAAGGTGTGCACAATTGTTAAATTAAGCTTTGTTGAATGAAAAATTATATCTAGTTGATTCTATAAACTGTTAAAGAAGCCTCTTAGCTATCTGTCTTCACATTTACTCTGTAGTCAAAAAAATCTTAACATTTTGCCATATTTCTTTTTCAGCTATACATTCTCATAGCTATTTTCATGCTAAATAGCACTTTTGTTTTTGAAAAATTTTTAGCTACAGTCTTGAGATAGCTAAGTAATAAATTACCACGAAGGCTCATTATATGGAGAAAATTTGTACTGTCAGAGAATAAAATATATGAAAATGGAACTGAACCCAGTGGTGTCAATATTAGATTGTGTTTATTTTCTATAGCTTTGCTATTATAAATTTTTCAATACTGGATGGATAAGAAACAAAACTTCAGCTAAATGCATAGGTTCTTAGCAATAGAAGATTAATTTTCTTTGACTACTGGTATCACTTTTGAATTAATCATTATTTTTACCTTTTCATGGGGATTTTCATATGTGTCTCACCACCTAACCGTTAATAATTAAAGGAAAGTTTCAATTACTTCCAATGTTTCAGGGCAGAGAGCTTTTTAATAACACAGAAGCAAACAATTCTAATTAAAAGCAAAATTATAAAGCAGTTCAGCACTTTAAAGTGTTTCTAAATACAATAAGAAATCAGAAAATGCATTAGAAAAATTTAGGTCATTTTAACAAGTGAAAGTTTTTCTTTAAATCAGTAGCCTGTGGACTGAATATTTCTAAAATAATTTTGATTTTTTAGAATTTCTTTTGCCTTGCTTTGAAATGTCAGAGATAAGAAGAATAAAGCTCTGGGGAAAAGGTATCATTAATTAAAATAAATCATAGCCAATAGTATTATATTTTACTCAGAATTATTGACAATAGGAATAAACTCTTTTAAACCATATTCTCTCTTTAAATTATATAAAATGTAATTCTTAATAACAGTAACATTTTAAATGCTAGCTATATTCTTTGATGATACTTACCACAGTCCTAATATATAGGCATCAAAATACAAAATAAATTTATCTAATTTTTCATTATTTTACTGATTTGGAGGATGATATCCTTTTCTTTCACAGTTTTAACAAACATCTAGACTTTATTTTCCCAAATACTCAAAAATAGCATACCCTTCACTTTCTTCTTCATTTGATAAAGATAAGCATTCACAATTGTCAGGAGGAAATAAGAAGTAGAAGTTGAAATTCATATATTAGCCTATTTTGGCAAATTGCCAAAGGAACCAGAAATAAATTTGCATAAAATTATACCTATGTTGTGGAATCCTTCTTCTTTTTATAATGTACGTGATATTTAAACACAGTTGGGCCTTTTAGATACAATTCTATTTTCACTTTCACAGATGGGGCAAATACATTCACTGAGATTGAGGCATGTGCAAGTGTGCATGTGTGCAAAAGCCCTAGCAAGTGTGTTTCTGTATGTTACGCAAAGGTTGAATTTTTAGAAGCTTCCCTTTATTTAAGGGGTTCAAATCAGGTGTCATCAAGACAAATTTAAAAGTCATTTTGCTTTTCCCTTTGATTTGTAAGATATTAGAAAGAAATGACCCTTCACTTAACACTATGAATTGTATAAATTTCTAGACCAAGTAAAACACTTAAAGCGTTTCCTTTCCTAGTGTTAACTAGAATAGTAATGCCTGACATACAAGTGGCAGTAGAGAAATGTAATGTTTTGTTGTATTCTCAAAATAAAATTATAATTTAACTATACACATTTACCACAGATTTTCTTTTAAACAATTAGGATAGATGACCAAATAGCATTATCACCCAGGTTGCTCTAATCCTACATCAGGTGAATTGGATGTGTACATTTTTGGATTGAAATAAAGAGAGAATATGGCCATAGAAAACTGTGGGATTTAGTATTTTTCAATGAGTTTCTTTCTCCCTAATCCCCTGTCTCTCACTGAATGCTCTGATTCCCACATGGGTCACTAATATAGGGAGAAATGGTAAGACCGATGTCAAATTGCTTTTTCCTCATTTGCATGCTGTGTGCCATGGGCAGTTTAACCCATGCAAATTAGAGCGGCCATGCTTTTGCAGAACTGCTTCCCTCTGCATTGCTTTGAAAGCATGTAAAATAAAAGGTAGTCGGATATTCAGCACACTGCCTGCAGTCTGCCTGGTGATTCAATACCACATCATCACATCATAAGACTAAAGGTTTCATCATACTCATGGAAAACTCAAAAATTATCTCTTCCTTTTGGTATTTGCACATTTCATTTTAGTGTTTTCCAACAGGATTTCTGCCAGATGACTGGAATTTAAAACAAAAGAAAATGCAACACCTATTATTTTGGAAGAGAACTCTTGTTGTTGTTGTTGTTCCTCTGTGGCTGTAAATTTCAGTGGCGCTAGGCTTTAGGACGGGCCATGATTTGATGTGGTACCTCTATTCTCCAGGGAATGATGACACACCAAATGAGTCATTGTAGTAGCTGGAACCTTGGGAATTGCTCTGTTCTATGACTGATGCTAGATTTTGGTACAGTACCAATCATAAGAGGGGAAAAGCCATACTCTGGCTTGGGCAGGAGTCCCAGAATACTGGGGTATGATTTCTAATCCCATGTTTTTTCCCATTAACTCTGGGGGTGACCAGCTTCACCTTTCCAAAATAAAATGAGAACCCAATGTTGGTATATATGTGTATACACACAATGCACATACACATATGTACACATATATATTCAGAACTGAACAGTCTCAGTCTAGCTATTGGTTTTGAACAAAGTTTAAATTGATTTCATCTTTCTTTTCTAGCTTCTACACGCTACAAACATCATTTTCTTAGTTCCATGCAGTAACTATGTTTGTCACAGTTTTATATAGAGCTTTTTTTTCTTGTTGCTTAAGCTGGAGCACTGATTTGCTGAGAGATGTAGCTTTGGTCGTATCTACCATTCATATGCTGAATAAACTTTTCTTTCATAGGATCTGACGGCATTAGCCAAAGAACTAAGAGAACTCCGAATTGAAGAAACAAACCGCCCAATGAAAAAGGTGACTGATTACTCCTCCTCCAGTGAGGAGTCAGAAAGTAGTGAAGAAGAAGAGGAAGACGGAGAGAGCGAGACCCATGATGGGACAGTGGCTGTCAGTGATATACCCAGACTGATGTAAGAGAACTACTTTTATTTATTTTTGTTATTATACTTTAAGTTCTGGGGTACATGTGCAGATCGTGCAGGTTTATTACATAGCTATACACGTGCCGTGGTGGTTTGTTGCATACATCCCCACGTCATCTACATTAGGTATTTCTCCAAATGTTATCCCTCCCCAATCCCCCCACCCGCCGCTGTCCCTCCCATTGCCCCCCAGCAGGCCCCAGTGTGTGATGTTTCCCCCCCTGTGTCAATGTGTTCTCGTTCAACACCCACTTATGAGTGAGAACATGTGTTTGGTTTTCTGTTCTTGTGTCAGTTTGCTGAGAATGATGGTTTCCAGCTTCGTTCATGTCCCTGCAAAGGACATGAACTCATCCTTTTACTACTTTTAAAATGTAGACCAGGAGGAGACTCGGTTTCCAAAATAAAAGGACAAAAAATATGAGTTAAATGTAAGGTTGTATATGGGTCTGTGTCAAGGTAAATTGACTTTAGGGATTTCGGTTTTTGCTGGAGCATAGTTCTTATTTCTCCCTATGGACACAATCACTTAGAATATGTGGCATTTTTGGACTGCATACACTTTACCTATCCATTGCCAATGGATTGACTGCCCTTTTGGTGACTCTTTCTTGCTTCTTTTCATCTCAAGGGCAAACAATATTGACAACCAGAGCACTGATACGTGCCCTTCCCCCTAGAACTGAAAGAGTGAAGGCATGGGCAATGACATTTAGGGATTAAAATTAACAACATGAAACATATATTTTATTACCACCACTACCACCAATAAGTAAGGAGAAATGCACATGCCAGCATGTGTTACCATCCTCGCAAAAGAATCAGGAGTCAGATAATCATGCAGAGAAAGTTTCAAAATACACCCCGTCATGATTTTCTACTTTATTCTCTTGATGGCTTCTTTTTCTTCATTCAGTTTTCTGTGGTCTGTGTCTTTGTTACATACTTTCTGTCAGTCTCTTTGCAGTTCTCTTTTTATGTATTTATATGTATATTTATACCTACCTATATTTTTGTTAGTAATTATAGCCTTTACTTTTTCTTTCCTTTTTTTTTTTTCAAAGGTAAGAGAACAGCTCACTTTTTTTTCCTCATTGGCGAGGATCCTGTGAAAGCATCTGTCCTTATGCCCTGTTGCTTCCCCAGTTCGTCCCCCTAATAACACAAGGTGCCCTTGCCCTGGTCTGCTATGAATTTGATAGAATGAGAAGCTATTTTGTCCAACTTCACTCTTCAATCACCTCTATTTCTTTGGCTCAGCTACTAGTATTGATCATCAGATCACACTGACTCTATATAGAAAAGAAGCCATTTCAGGTCACAAATTATTGTCCAATTCATCAGGGATTGGAGAGGCAGGGCTGGACAGTCTACAGGGAATGTTATCCGCTGATTAACCATCATTACATACAAGCAATTCTAAGAGGCAGATCTAATTATCATAGCTGAAAAATCCATACTTATTTTGCTGTTGATGACCCAGTTATTGACAACTGTAAATATGCTAAAATATGACATCTGGAAACAAATTGCTTTAAATTGCCTTTTTTAAAAGTAAATAAAATTGTTCTAGAGGCAAAATCACTAATCCAGATCATTTCTGCAAAACATGCTGGCCCTTTTAATTTTTGTCTCGACTCAGAATTGCTTAATTCTTTTGACAGATGTTTTGAACTCCTTTTAAGCACTGAGCATACAAGTATCAGGATGAGAGTAGATTATGAAATTAAAAGATTGCTAAAACTCTCAATATATGTTAGCCATCTTGCAGAGGGCTTTGAGAGATTTGCTAAGTTCGTACTTGGATTTTGTCTTCCAAAAGTTTATATTCTAGTTGGAGAATGACAAAATTACGCATGGAAACCTGCAGGCTAAAATAAATACTTGGAGAAACAACCAAAGACAGTTTGGGAAAAATGTTAATTAGCATTTGGGTTTTAGGTCTCCTATCATATTTTGCAAGGCTATTGATGGTATTCACTCTTCTACCTTTAAAGGCAAATCTAGGACTTATTCCCCACTGCAGAAACACCCACCTTTCTAAAATTTCCTGAATAGACCATGCTGCACTTCTGTCTGCTGTCTAATAATTTCCTGTTCCTTTAGAAATCACTTACTCACAGCCCTGCTTGCACAGGTAGAGCCTGTCCTCTCTTCTGTGCTACCAGTGTATCTTGTGTGTATTCCTGCATCTTCATGAAGTGCCTTGAATCAGGATTGTTTATTATGTCTTTGTCTCCTTTTCTGGACTAGGATATCTTTCAGAGTAAGGGTTGTGCCTTACTCATCTCTCTTACCCTTAACCTGTTGCATGGTATCTGGAATACAGTGGGTCTTCAGTGACTATGATTTACATTTGATTGCACTGATTTGAAATTGCAAGTTGTGACTCTGAAGAAGAGTTTATAGCCTAATTCTCTGCAAATAATTTTAAGCAAGATTTAAAAAAAAAAAACCTGAGGTAATATTAGAATCATAATCAGGGGGAAGAGTTGAAGTAAAGACACAGGAAGTTGACTTTGATGGGAATGTATGGTGTATGGCATGGAGGGGAGTCCGGACTAGTGAAATCAAACCAAGGAGTGTGCACTTTATTATGTAGCCACTGGAAACAATTGAACGTATCTCGAATTCAGTGTTATATTTCAGATCATTTCAGCAAGACGATTTGAAAAGGGAACAGACTAGAGACTGGGAAAGCAATTCAGAGGCTCTGTTACTATAATCTATGTAAGAAATAATAAACTGAGGCTATCATGGAATGCTGATAGTGGAGGCAAGACTTGACATGGTTCTTAAGGGACTGGTAAATTTTAGATGGAAATGGTCATCCATTAAAGAACATTTAAAATATGTGGTTACATATGTGAGAAAAGAAAGGTACAAGTGTATGTGTGTATGTTTACTTCAGTTTGTAAATATATGTATTTTTATATTGAATATAAAATACATATAGTCTGTTCTACAACATAATGGTTGCATGCCTGAGAAATTTCACACTATTAAAAGTACATTATAAAACAAGTTTATTTAGGATTGAGTATTTGGGGGCCACAGTGCCTCTTACATACATTCTTATTACCTTTGTTTTCTTTTGCTAAGGTAAACCTCTATATTTTATGCTATATATTTTTAACGCAGAAAACAAAAACATGTTGTGGCACAGTTCCCACCATGAAGTAAACCCAGAAGAGCTTCTCAGAAAGGTAGCACTAGCCATTTGGACAAATAGCCATGGTTTCCGATGTTTAAAACAATAGCTTTTTTCTATGTACTATGCTGGTTTTGCATTTATTTGATAAGATATAACTTATGAGTGTGCACTTAGCTAAGTTTGTATTCCCTAACCAACCAATTGCACTACTTCCCAATTCCTCATGCATAGAAAAATAATGAGTGGAGGGAAATACACCAGAATTATAAAGGTGATTACCTCTGGGTAATATAGTTATGAGAGATTTTTATTTTATGTATATCCCCAATTATATAATGGGCATGTACTACTTTTTGATCAGGAAAAAAAGAATAAAAGCTTTATAGAATAAAAAAATGGAAGCAAAGGCATTTAATTTGATTTGTATCACATCAACCAAGCCAAAGAGGTAACTCTCTGTGTTAGTATTGTCCCTCAACTACCAGCACATGCTCCCGAAGGGAAGACTTCTCCACTGTAAAATGACTCTTTTATTTATCTTTTTTTTTATTCGGTACCCTTTGGAAGGAAGCCACTATGCACAGCCCACATTTAAGGAGTGGGGAATCATGCTTCCCTCCTGTAGGGTAGAGTAGCTACATAATTTATTTAGAATTCTTCTGCACAGATTTGTCTCCTCTATTTATTTATTGTATCATTTATAACAGTATAGAGTCATGGACATAATACTTCTTTATTTTGTTGCTCAAATTTTCCAGTTTTGACCATTGGGAGCTCTTTCAGTTAGCTCCTGTGCCTCTTTGACTGACATACCACCACCATGTGTGTATTGGCGTGCATGTACATGTGTGTGCATTTGAACACTCTTTACTTTCTGATACTATAAGATGCTCCAATCCAGACTAATTTTATATATTTCCTATACCAGTCCTGGAATCAGCTACTTCTTCAGTAAGCCCTGATTCCTTTTATTGGAGGATGATATTAGAAACCAATATCTAGGCACCCAGTGTGCTCATTGCTACTAAAGTGTCACTTGTTTTAGGCCTTCTCAGCTAACAGAGCAAGGAAATACATGCATGTGTACATTAACCCATGTATATATGAATATTTACTAATATTTCTGTATATAGCCATCTGTATCTGTATTAAGCTAAACAGGAGTTCACACTGACATCTCCAATTAATCCATCACAACAACATAAATCATTCTTACCTCCTCCCCTTGCTTATTTATGAATTTCCATTCCAACAGTCAGAAACCTGGCTTCTGCCGTCAACCACTGTATTAGTCGATTTTCATACTGCTGTGAAGAAATATCCAAGAGTGGGTAATTTATAAAGAAAAAGAGGTTTAATGGACTCATAGTTCCACATGGCTGGAGAGGCCTCACAATCATGGTGGAAGGCGAAGGAGGAGCAAATCACATGGCGGCAAGGAAGAGAGCATGTGCAGGGAAACTGCCCTTTATAAAAACATCAGCTCTTGTGAGACTTAGTCGCTATCACAAGAAGAGCACAGGCAAAACTCACCTTGGTGATGCAATTACCTCCCAGCATTTCCCTCCCAGGACATGTGAGGATTATGGGAACTATAATTCAAGATGAGATTTGGTTGAAAACACAGACACACCATATTAACCACCCATTTACTTAATTGTGCACATCCAGTATTTTTGTATAGCAATATCAAATTTGTTAACCTGTATTCTCATGGGAAACAGCTTTGTCAACTAGAGTGTACAGTGTTTACGTGCAATTCCTCTTGCGTTTAGTCTTACAGACTCCGCTCATTTTCAAGGCTATTTAAATCAGTGCTTACCCCCCACCCCATTTCTCCTCACTGAAGTTGTTCATACATTTGTGATATGGTGAGATTCTCTTATCACAGTTTTTAACTTTCTTTCCTGAGAGCTTCTGATCTCCTCAATTATTTTTTTTAAATTTGTATACATTAACACTTTTTTCTGTAAAGTTCTATGACATATCTGAATAGATGTTTTGTTATTCTATGATAACCACCCAATTATAAAAAATTATTTTGGCACATCCTAGTGAACTCAATTCCATAAGATTGCAAAACTTAACATTGGTTGTTCAGGACATTTTAAATATGCAAATAATATCCTGATAGCCAATTTCTCATCAATTCACAGAAGAGCTATATTTTGACAATAAGCCTGAATGAACTCTCTGCTAGACATTAAACAAAGCCCTTGACCCAAGATCTTCAATGATTTAATAAACATTAGGTACTACCTACATTCCAGGCACCATGCTTGGCAGTGAAGATACCAACATTAATGAGATCTGATCATTGCAGGACTGTGTGTTGAATGCAATGTCAGACATGCACAAAGGGCAATGTGGAAGCAGAGTGGAGAGCCACCTGAACTGTTCCAGTGAGGCTGGAACGGGTTTGGAGGAGAACTATAGCTTAAAGAATGGGTTAGCCAGAGGGAGGCAGAGAATAGAAAAGAATCTTCCAGGTAGAGAGGGCAGGCTAAAGTCACCAGGGATTTTCTAGCATAATGTGCATAGGAAACTATTATAAGTTAAACGCTGATAGAGTTAGAAGCTGGGGCAGGATTTTATTTAAAAATTGGGTTAGTGAGACAGTCAAGAACCAGATAATGGAAGGCTTGTAAGCCACAGTAAGGAGCTTCAAGTTTATCCTGCGGTCGATGAGGAGCTACTGAACATTGAAAGTAGAAGAGTGACTCGGACTTCATCAGACATGTGTTTTGGAGGGCTTGCTTTTGCAGCTGTGAGGTGGATAGGACTGGAGATGGAGTGGCCAGCAAGATAACTGTTGTTCGGGTAACAGAGAAAGCAGATCTGACTAGGACAGGAGAATTTGATTGTGCAAGCATCAGCTTGGCAGATGCTACCAGGCCAACTGAGCCCCTGCCAATAGCAATGAATGCCTGTCTGAAAAAGAAGAAAAGCAGCTCCCATCATGGAAGTCTCTTGATAAATATTTCATTGATTTATTGGCTTTATATCATTTTTTCCCAAACAAGTACTTAAGGCAGAAAGAAAGAAAAGAAAAAGAAAGAAAGACAGAAAGGAGAGAGAGAGAAGAGAGCAAGAAAGAAAATGAAAGATTCCCACAAGAAAAACAAATGAGTGAAGAAATAATAGTTTGAAAACTATGATTTACTATTCTATCAAAATACCAGGAATTCATATTTCTCCATGTCTCTGGAACACGATAAAAAGCTCCTTTTGGATGGATGAAGCTGGAAATCATCATTCTCAGCAAACTGATACAAGAACAGAAAACCAAACACCACATGTTCCCACTCATAAGTGGTTGTTGAACAATGAGAACACATGGACACAGGGAGGGGAACATCATACACCAGGGCCTAGGTGGGGTGAGGGGCTAGGGGAGGAATAGCAAGAGGTGGGGGGATTGAGGAGGGATAGCATTAGGAGAAATACCTAATGTAGATGACGGGGCGATGGATGCAGCAAACCACCTCCATGGCATGTCTGTACCTATGTAACAAACCTGCATGATATGCACATGTACCCCAGAACTTAAGTATAATAAATAAATTTTTAAAAATAAATGAAAGTTCCTTTCTAGGAATGAAATGTTGAAAATGAAAATGCCTCTTTGGAATTCTTCCTTAACACATCAGTTCTAGCCCATATTTAGATTCATTCAATCCACTGCTCCAGTTTAGTAATTGCAATGTAAGCTTCTTACTATACATTTTCTTGTCTGGACTCATCCTGTCATCTTTTCACCTGTCTGTTTTGGATAAAAATCCTTGAAATATGTCTTTCTCTGCCCCTGGAGACATCATAAATCTGGTGTATTTCTTGTCTCTTAGATGGATGATTCCAGTAATTCTTTGGACTTTCATAAGATTCAAGAGGCCAGAGATATTTTTAAATATATAAGAAACAATGAAAAATAATGAAATGATAAAAGTTGCAAATAATATGCCTAGAGAGAAATAAGCCTTGATAACTTTCCTATTTTTAGAAAACCTACTTTAAAAGAGAGGTAGATGCTAAAATAGAGTCAGAAGTATTGCATTAACAACCAAAATCCTTCCAGAAGCCATGTTGTACCAACCTCAACCTGTGGTTGAACCACATGACCTGTGTGGTTCTCAATTCCCCTGAGCTCCTAAATCAGAGAAATTCTGTGTCATGCAAATGAGGCACTCCTGAGAGAATGGAGCTCACTATGGGCAATCATCACTTTGTGAGCCTTCGCACTGTGCTCTGTGCTATGGGACATAGGAAACATCCGTCTGTGTTCTCAGGGAGTGTGTAGAGATCCTGCTACTTTCTCATTATACCGTAAACACGATAGCAAGAAAAGAACTGAAAATAAGTATACCACCATGCAGGATGATTGCAGAGGCTGAATGTTGTCTAAGTTAAACCTCCTAGTTCATGGATGCCCCAGTAAGCCAGAAGGTTCTTAGTAGATATTTCTTTTTTATAGAAGCATAAAGTCCATGGATCTTATGATTATTTTTTGCATCTGTAGTATGTGCTAACTCTAGGCTGGGTACTGGGCTTATATAAAATGAAAACAGAGACAAGGACTCTGCCCTCACCAGCAATGAATGAAGGAGAAAGAGAGAATCCGAAAGATAAGATAACGGCAAATTGTGATGAGAACTATTAAGGAAAAAGTGAAGAGAAAAGCAGAGGGGCTGTTGGGATAAGACAAAGGTGATAAGAGTAGACTTCCCACAGAAAGCATCATGTAAGATGAATGAGAGGGAACCAACCAAGCCCAGAATGCAAAGAGCTTTCCAGGCAGAAGTAACGGCATGTATAAAAGCAGGTCAGGGTATCTGCTGGTCAAAGGAGGAGGCCAGAGTCGGGGAGATCATGCAGAACCTGGTGACTCCCGGTGCCAGCTTCAGTGGTTTTTCCATGTAAAGCCAAACACTTGCTCAGGCTGGCTACTGGGCAGAGTATAGGCTAAGAGGGATGCTGCAAAAGTAGGGCCAGTCCAGACATCAGCACACATTAAAATTAATATGGAATGTTCTTAAGACGAGTGACATGTACACTTAAAATTGGTACAAGGGTAGATTTTATGTTAATACATATGTTTTACCATAACAAAAATAATATGGACAGGAAACAGATATATTTAACGTACATTACCATGAATGTCGGTCCTTCTCATCTCAGACCAACAGGAGCTCCAGGGAGCAATGAGCAGTACAATGTGGGAATGGTGGGGACGCATGGGCTGGAGACCTCTCACGCGGACACTTTCAGCGGCAGTATTTCAAGAGAAGGAACCTTGATGATTAGAGAGGTAAGTTGGTATAAAAACTGTCATCAGAGTTTTTAATCTGTCATCTGTCAACGGAGGAAGTACATTTCTTAAGTGGTTTTACATTAAAGATTTGACAGAGACTGCCTATGGCATGTATTTTAAGCATGGGGAATTGTTGGAGGGAGAACCTGTGCTTCTAAATAGTTGAGAGATTTTAATTGTCTGCTGCCTTCTTTTCTGTATTCTTCTAAGCTTTGGAAGTGTGACTTAATTACATTAGTCCAGACTCTTCAGTAGGAGCTATCCAAATAAGAATATGGATTTTGGGCCTGAGGATATAAAACTGCAAATCCAGAGGTTTCCTACAACAGGAAAACAGAAACGAATAGTCTCTCTGAACAGTATCACTGGCCTTGTTATGTCCCTTCTCCTCATGGTTTTATCTTTGTGGATTTCATATAGAAAATGCTCAGTAGTTCTCAGAAATGATGATATCATCTTATCTAGTTAAATTGACATTAAAATGACCATTAAGCTATTTTATTGAAAGAACAAAGAAATATGCAGATCTACTTCAAAAATATACCTTGGCACTTTGAATTTTTTAAGCTCTGGAACATCATTTCATTTGGGAGCTGCTCATGTTCCCTTTCATCTGTCCTTCTGACATGTAGTAACTCCCCACTGTGTCCATGCTAGCCGGAAAGACCCTGACAAATTAAACTCAGTTTTGTTTTCTTTTTCACTTCATCATCACCATGCAATTTTGAGTGTAGATCTTCACTTGGAAGGAAACGGTTGCGAACGTTGGGCAAATGTTACCTGACCTCTCCCTGCATCCGTCTACAAAATTTTACAAATAACAGCATACGACTCATAAGATGGTTGCGATTTTGAGTTAGTAAATGTAAGCATTCAATAAATGTTAACTATTTTATTTTATTTCACTCTCTCCTTAGAGTTGAATTCCCCTTTCACTTGTTGTCACCATCCAGTCCTCCCTCTGAAACATGAACATATGTCATCTGTTTTTCCTCTTCAGCCAGGACACAGTTGGGAAACTCTATAGCAGACTTTCCTCTCTGAAAAGGCAAAGGCTTCTCACTTTTGTAAGAAAGAAAGGAACAGTAGTTTTTAGACGAATAAGGCCTTTGAAATAATAATTGGCAGTGGGGCTATAACTGAAAGACTAGTTCACAAAGCAACTTGCTAGAATTTCATTTTATGGCCTTGTTGAATCTTTCAAGTAGGCTTTAAAGAGTCCTTTCACATATGCCTGAAATGAAAAATGGACTTGGCTGCTGAAATTGACTTTGTGTAGTGCTGGTATATAAATCTCCCAATGTGGTTAATGGATAATTTCAATGGAAGTGTAGAAGGCTTCTCTCTATGTAACTTACCACTTAGGAAAACATGAGGGAGAATGTTCTGGAGTGAGTTGCCATTTGACTCCAGATAAAAGGACTCCAACTTCTAATGTGGTTTAAAATTTGCTTGAGTCTTTAGGACAGAGTCAAACCTGCAGGAAGACATTTGGAGCCACATTTTCAGCTTGTTGCCAGCCACACCCAAATGGCTCCATGTTATTTACAGCACTCCAGTATTCTATGACCACAGCCTGTCACTTTGAAAATCGCATTTGTCAGTGTCCTATAGGAATGTGATCTATTAAGGACCCCAAAATCTTTCTGTCCTCTCACTTTCTAATTCTGCCTTTCTCAAATGCGGGTTTTTAAAATAAAAAACTGTATTAATTGGGGTTCTCCAGAGACAGAGAATATTTACATATGTAGAGAGAGACAGACTGCTTTATTTCTTTATTTTTTGTTTGTTTCTTTGTTTTTGTTTTTGGAGACGGAGTCTTGCTCTATCACCCAGGCTGGAGTGCAGTGGCGCGATCTCGGCTAACTGCAACTTCTGCCTCTCAGGTTCAAACAGTTTTCCTACCTTAGACTCCCGAGTACACCGCTAGGCCTGGCTAATTTTTTGTATTTTAGTAGAGATGGGGTTTCACAGTGTTGCCCAGGCTGGTCTTGAACTCCTGAGCTTAGGCAATCCACCCGCCTTGGCCTCCCAAATTGCTAGGATTACTGGCATGAGCCATCACACCTGGCCAAGAGACTGCTTAATTTTGAGGATGTAGCTCATAAAATATGGAAGCTGAGAAGTCCCATGATCTATCATCTGCAGGCTGGAGACCCAGGGAAGCTGTTGATATAAATCCCAGTCTGAAGCTGGGTGAAGATGAGATGAAATGTCCCATTTGAACCAGTGGAGAAGAAAAAAAGGGAGAAAATTCCTCCTTCCTTTGCCTTTTGTTCTGTTCAGGGCCCCAGCAGACTAGATGATGCCCATCCAATTTGAAAAGGGCAATCTATTTTACTGAGTCTACCAATTAAACTCTAATTGCATCCAAAACACTTACATACACACCAGAAAAAAAATGTTTCACCTAGGCACCCCATGGCTCAGTCAAGCTGACACATGAAATTAACCATCATCAAACCTTGAATTGAAAATTACTAAAAGTACATGTTTGAACAAGATCAATACAGATTAATGTTTACCCCTGACAAAAGAAAATAAAATAAAAACTTATTATAATAAGATTTAGCTTATAGGGTGCTATTAGTACAGTTCTCCAAGATGAACATGAAGGAGAACTTACTCATCTTGTCATTGAGTGGACTAGATGGTTCTATGAGAACATACTGCTCTAACACTCGTGATCTTGTCAGATGTACAAATTTCCTTAGTACATACCCTTACCCCGTGGTTCTACCTATCCCTGTCCTAGAGCTCCACAGGACCACTTTTTACTCAGTTCTAGTGTACTCCATACCAGCTGCAGCTGCCATTTTGTCCATGGAAGCCCATCTGCTGGAAGAGGTATTTTGCATTCTCCACTGCTGCCCACACTTCACCAAGCAGGTCCCTGTGCTCAATCTTCCTTTTCTCCTACAAGCCTCTACTGGGACTCCACGGACCTTTGTCCACAGCACCTTCCTGGTATCAGCTAGTATCTCTTCAGTGATGATCCTCCTCACTCAACCAGAACACTAGCTTGTCATCATGGGGGCTCTTTTGGTTATAAGTAATGAGTAAAAGAACCCACTTACTACAGAGTAAGCAAAAAAAAAAAAAAAAAAAGGAAGTTTTTTAAGTAGGGAGAGGGTAGATATCAGAAACGGGGGAGTAAAGGAAGATTTAGGATATTTCATGGAAGGAACCCAAAGGTAAAAGTGAGCTGAGCCTCTCTGAAGGTCTGAAACAGACAGGAGCTCAGGCAGCATCTCATGGGCAGGTCTCTGGCTCTCTTGCTGCCTATGTCTCTTTACCCTGATCTCTGCTTTCTTCCGCATTTCTCCTTTGTTCTTCTCTCTCTTCACGGAAGAGCTTTCTCTCCCTCTGCGTGCTTCTGCTCTCACCTCTCTGCTTCCTCTATTGCGAGATATTCACCACTTCGCAGTTCAACTGCCAGCAGAAATGGACCCATGTCTCTCTGGCTTAATATTAATTTCCAGTGGGAATCTAGTCCCCCTTGGCTCAGGCGTCCACCCCTGATTCAATCAGCTGTGACCAGGAGCAGGCCCCCTAATGCAACAGTGCAGCCCAGAGCACCTGGGCTCTGCCACAAGACGGCTGGGTTCAAACCACTTAGAACCCACATTGCTTAAGGCAGGATAACTGATGGAATGTCATAAAGTGTTTAGCACAGTTCTTGGCATGTGTTGGTACACACAACATCTTTGTGCCAATCCCCACGAGAATGGTGAGAGAGAAAGATGAGACATTATTGGGGTTCTGTTAACAAGGTTCTAGAGGGCAAGGCTTTTACACATCTGTCTTTGTGTTTCCAGTACAGTACTTGGCACACAGAAAGTGTTTAATAAGAAGGTGCTGGTAGAGTGAACAAAAGAGTGATGACTCAGAAGTGGGCGGATTCAGGGCCTACCACTGGATTCCTTCAAGCTTCTGACTATCTGAGCCACTCCCCTTGTTAGCCTCTCTGAGTCTTTCTTTGATAACAAGTATGTCTGCATCAGTTTTTGGCTTGAAAAAGAGTGTTGCTGATACAAGAGAGACCAAAAAAATTCGAAAGAGATGTGATTTATGCTAAAGAGAAGCTTGGGGAAATGTTTGTTTAAAAGCTTTTCAGTATTTGAACAGAAGTTAAAACAAAGGAGAAATGGCCCAGTACACATGAAATAGTGCACAATAAGATGTATTAGGACTGAACTTTCTAAATGTCATTCAGAAAAGGAAATGCCCAACTCTAAGAATAGGCACTAATGCAAGATACTGCTGGGCACTGTGACAAAATGAATCCAGAAAGTGCCCCTCTCCAGGACAGCTTGTAGTCCAGGAGCACGTTGCCAAGAAACCTAGAGGATACTCAGCTTTCCAGTTATCTCTCAAGCTTCCTGGAAACATCAATTGCATGTACCATTACAGGAGCTTGGGAGTCTGTTTCATCTAAGAAAAAAGAAAAGAGAAGTGCCTCCTTTCACTTGCAGCCACAGGCAGGTGCAGAGCTGTAATTGTAATTCCATGACAAGCTCTAGAAGTAAAAAGCCAGGCTGGTGAGATGGTCAAAGAAACAGCATGAACCCTTGCACGTGCCAGCCCCCAAGAGGGTAGGGAATGTGTCTGCTTTGTTCCCAGCTGTTCCATGTTCAGTAGAATGCTTTACGCTTAGTAGGCACTAAAAAATATTGGGTCAATGAATGAAAGAAAGAAAAGGGCAGAGAGGAAAATTATTACTTAATCAGGTCTGCTCTAAGAATCCTCAATGAAGCAATTGCATAAAAGTTAAATCAAAAAGTGTAACTCTAGTCAGTCCTACAATGTGGGCACTGGCTTTTGGAAAGCAGAGTTGTCTTTTAATTCTGTCTTTCCTCCCCAGGATTTTTTGGTAGAGACTGTTCTCCAGTGCAGTGATTTCCAAACTTGTTAGGTCATGTAATCCTATCAGTAACAACTGTAGAGCATGCCACCTAATACAGTGTATTCACAAATCATGCATTTTTTTCTACTGCTACTAATATTACATACTTCTACTAATATTACATACACTATAAAATACCTTTGGTTGGGCACAGTGGCTCACGCCTGTAATTCCACCGCTTTGGGAGGCCAAGGTGGTAGGTAGATCACAAGGTCAGGAGTTTGAGGCCAGCCAGACCAACATGGTAAAACCCATCTCTACTAAAAATACAAAAATTATCTGGGCTTGGTGGCATGTACTTGTAATCCCAGGAGCCTGAGGCAGGAGAATGGTTTGAACCCACGAGGCGGAGGTTGCAGTGAGCCGAGATCACGCCTTTGCACTCCGACCTGGGAGATAGAGTGAGACTCCGTTAAAAAAACAAACAAACAAACAAAAAAAACTTTAAAGGACATTAAAAAGCGTTACTAGAAGTAATGTTTTAAATGCTTTGGTAGTCATGATAACGTTATTTTGTTACTGCCTACATCACAAAGCACCGTAGTTATTTATTGAGACATTAAACATTTATGATAGTAGTTGTAAATCCATATTTTCAAATAATATTCTAGATCAGGTCAATATATTTGGAACTCCTGACAGATCTGATTAGTTAATCATTGTTTTGACCCTGTGAATGACAAAGAGCCCTGTGAGTTGTGTTAAATGTGGTCTCTGCACTTTCTTGAAGTATTCCACACTCCAGAGCACATGGATTATCTCACTGCTTTTCAGCAACATTTTGGGTCATTTCTCTGTTGTGTGGGTTTGTTTCATTGTAACCTGGTAATATGCTTTGTAAATATAATTAAGGGCACATGCATACAGCACAAGTACTACAAAAGAGGAGCTTACCAGTGTGGGTCCTGCTCAGCCCCTCCCCTTTGTGGCATCTCCCTCTGCACATGGGATCCCCATGCCATATGTGACCACTGTCTGCACCTCATGCAGGAACATAAGGCTTCAGGTTCAATCCATGAACTAAATATTGACAAAGATTAATTTCTTTTTTATTTTCTTAAGTAAAATAGAAATTTGAGTATCACCTATTCAGGCGCTAGTGGATTGATTTAGAGCCCCGTATACCTATGTTGGGTTAGGGGTGATGTCACCCTATGGCCTTTTGCCTCCCTCTCTAACTGCCCCCACATGCTATTCCCCCTCAGACGTCTGGAGAGAAGAAGCGATCTGGCCACAGTGACAGCAATGGCTTTGCTGGCCACATCAACCTCCCTGACCTGGTGCAGCAGAGCCATTCTCCAGCTGGAACCCCGACTGAGGGCCTGGGGCGTGTCTCAACCCATTCCCAAGAGATGGACTCTGGGACTGAAGTAGGTTCTGGGCAACAGCTGGCATGTTATGTTACATTCTGCTGTCCTTCCTGGGTTTCTAAAACCATGATCTTTTCAAGAACGAGGTTTTGCCAAGCTCCTTGAAACTTGGGTGGTTGGTTTCTACTATAGAGCTGCTTGTACAGATACTCAAATAGAGAAATCATAGAAGCAAAGCAGTGAAAAGTTTTCAGATATCATCTGAACGAATACCTGTTTCTACAGATGAATGTACTGAGGTTCACAGAGGTTGTGTGACTGGCCTAAGACACACAGTTGGTTTGTCACGGATCTAAGACCAGAACTGGGTCCTCCTATCTTCCAGACTACTCATGGAAACTTCAGGCTACACAGATTTCCAGGCCAACTGTTGAGGTTTATATTTACATTAATTTAATCAAACTAAGTATGACTTAAGTAAAACAAAGTTTAAATGATTTGCTTGTGAAAAAAATTCATAAATACATCAGTTCCTAAAGTGTTCATCTTCATAAATTCAAAACTGTGTGAGAAAGAAGAAACTAGGTATATTATCTTTTCTGTGTAAAAACAGTCCCAGGAAAATGTCTGAATAAACACAAAATCCGTAGGTAGTGCTCATGAGTGGTGATGACTGACACCAGTTGGATAAGCTCACAGTGTGTGGTCATGTTTCATTAATAGTCTTGTCAAGCACATATAAGGCCCTAAATGTGTTTATAAAGCACACGTACTGTTATTTTTGACACTGCCTATACACTGAGTTTTTGATGCACCCTTTGAATTCTAAAGTTATAGATCAGATGAGCTTTGCATACCACCAAGGAAAAGAACACAGCGATATATTGCAAAGTGCAGTATCCTATTCTAACTTCAAGCTGTGTGGGCATTTTCTGCCTGAACATCTCTCTTGGTACCAAGGAGGACTCCATAAGATTGAACCCTGTTTAAAATTCTGCTGCTGCCCCAGCTGTAAGTGGAAATGTTAGTACCTGCCCTACCTCTTTCACAGACATCTTCTAAATATCAAAAGAAAACATGTATGTGAAAGTGTTCTATTTGGTAGGGGAATTCTACCTTGAGGAGGATGAAATTGTTTGGATTTCGTAGGAGGAAGAGGAAATCTTGAATTATATCAGATTAGATCTTTGTTTTCTTCTTATATTTTTAGAGGTCTTGGATGGTGGTTTTATTTTTAAATAGAAACCCAAAAGTAAAACTAAAGTGAAGTGACCTTTAGTTAAAGATATTTATCCAAAAAAATGTGCTTATTATGTTGAATACAGGTGTGTTTATAATGTTAAAAGATAAGAATAGAAGGAATGAATATGACTGACATCATTGCAGCTCATTCAGAAAAACTCAAATTTAGAATATTTTGACATGAAACCCTGATACTGAGTTTACTGTTCCCTCTTCTACTTCTGACATCATGTTTTCATGGTGCTATCCAAGCCTAAGATTCATTTTTTAAAGTAAGTCTTCAAGGTACATTGCCCACAAACCTAATATCCTCATGAAGTCCCTAAATAAAGATGTATATGTAATTATTCTTTTAAGGAAACTGTCATGGAAGAAAAAATCTTCAATTCCAGAATAATATCATCCCTGAATTAAAGATTTTAAAACTTTTGGAGGCAATACCAATCCACTTGCATCACCAGGCCAGAGTGAAAGGGCTGAAAGTTCTCTTTCCCAAGAGAAAGCTCCTTGGGTTGACTCTGTTCAGGATCAGGTGCTGCTGTGTAGGCTTGCTTACTTAGTTTATTGCCAATTGTGTCAGATTTTCATATTGACCATGTGGTCAGTATAGGAGATTGCCTTTGCTGAAAGTGAGAGGTAAGCTCTGTCACCACAGTGGTCCTACAGATTTTAAGGTGCCGTGTGTGGTTCAAAATGTAATTTTCTCACTGAAATTCTTGCAGTCTGATAATTAATGTAGTCCTACAAATGCACAATGGCTAGTGAATAATCAACACCAGAAGAAGCTGGAGAGAGGCACGCACTGACTAGGGCGCTAGAATATGAACACCTGAATACCCTGAACAATCCGTGATCATTTTACAGCTCAAGCACAGTGTCCTTAGCATTGTTTATTCCTGCATATTTATCTGTGATTCTTAATCTTCTTGCTTATTGATTTAGTATGGCATGGGGAGCAGCACCAAAGCCTCCTTCACCCCCTTTGTGGACCCTAGAGTATACCAGACGTCTCCCACTGATGAAGATGAAGAGGATGAGGAATCATCAGCTGCAGGTAAGCAAGAAGGGCCCAGTGTTTTAAAAACAGCTTCGTCTTCCTTCTGTTACAGCCTGATAAGAAAATTAATCCTCAGTTCAGTAGCTAAGCTGATTACTCCTTACGTCCTCTCTTAAAAGGAAGATTTGTTAAAATTATTATTTCTGCAGGACTTCTAAAACAAACTTATTTCTTTCCATTTTTTTTTTTTGCCATCTCTTCTGTTTTGTTTCTGGTAGACCCAGGGGTACATAGAGACCCTAGGAAAGCTGTTCCCCAGTGATCTCTGAACATAACCAAATATTTCCCCAAAACAATTTCTGGGCACAATGCTTTGCACACAGTAGGCCCTTAATAAGTACATGGTGCATTGTGTTGCGTTCTAGGTGTGTGCTTCCCACTACAAAAATCTGGCTAATTTAGAGGAGAGTCTTGCTTTCTAATGTTCTTCAAGTAATTAATCATCAAAGTCAGCTTAGGATAGTTTTTCAATTGATAGTCTGGAATTTCAAAAAGTAGATCTTTTTTTGCTTATATTACAGGAGTGGGGATGGTGTATTTAATTTGGGGAGATTAGTATCAACTTTCTAAGCTGTGCAAGTAGTGTCTATAAGCCTGTTTTGCTAATGAATAAAAGGCTGCTTTGATGAATGACTTATATTTTATTCACTTTTTAAAAAGTGTAAAATAAGGAGAGTTTCAGAGTTTCTTTGCCTTTCCTATAATTCAAACCAAACAAGGAGAAATCGTAGTGTTTTGAAGTCTCATCTCCACATCTTCATAGGTTATCTTTAAGATGCCACTGACTTCTCTGATTCTTTTTCTCAAAGCTCTGTTTACTAGCGAACTTCTTAGACAAGAACAGGCCAAACTCAATGAAGCAAGAAAGATTTCAGTGGTAAACGTAAACCCAACCAACATTCGGCCTCATAGCGACACACCAGAAATCAGAAAATACAAGAAACGATTCAACTCAGAAATACTTTGTGCAGCTCTGTGGGGTATGTTGGTGCTTTTTTTTTTTTTTTTTTTTAAATAACCACTCATTAATGAACTGACCCTCAAACATGAAAAGCCCGTGGATCTTGTCATCAAAAGAACATTGGTTGAATGGTGGGTATCAGAGACCTAGCTTGGGACTATCTTGACTTCAGGAGAGACCAAAAGCAATTTTATATATCGAAATAGCTGATACCCTACTAGCTGGGATGATGAGATTAGATTCAGAACAACCTTGTCATACAATACTGATAGGCTGAAGCCAACAAGAGAACTAGCTACCACTTGATACATTGAATGTGCAAGGCAAGGTCTATAATCTGATCAATCAGAGGTGAGTTGTGTCTGGCACTTTGTGATATACCCCACGTTCATTCTCCATGATCCATACAACATCCTGCAAGTGCAATAGGAGCATAAATAATGGCATAAACCTTTATTTCAAGCTGAAAATCCAGCCCAGAGTATTATCCAAGGTCATACCACTAGCAATAACAACATAAAACTTGAAAAGAACAACAAATAATATGATGAACTTTGCCTTTTAGTTTAAAACATCAATCTGCATTTCTTGTGAAAAATATCTGCAGGTTTTAGCTGACCTCAGACTCAGGCTAGGCATAATGAGATCCTGTCAAAGTCTTGGTCTATGTTACTATGAACATCTCATACAGATTAAGGAAAGACATGTCCCCTATGTACCCATGGAAAATAGTAGGCTTGGATTGGGGAACCATAATTTTAAAAGGCTGAAAGCATTTAAGATGTTAGTAGGGAAGAGTGTGAAGCCTAGGAACTATATCATGATAGAGGCTCTATTCTCTGGAGAAGAGACAGAAGAGAACAAGATAGCCACATTTAATATTGAAAGGATTAATATGTGGACAAAAAAGCAGACATTTGTGTTGATCAGAAGATAGAAGTACAATAAGTAAGATAAGTTAGAGAGTTACATGTTCATGAATATAGTACACTACACAATGAGCGTCTCAATGTGTGTGTGTTGCGGGGTGTACGATAAATTTCCCTAGCAATGCATTTTTAGGATTACAACTACTCAGAAAAAACCACTTACCTGCCTGTGCTTCTGGAATAGGGATTACTGCATGGTTGTTGGGCTGCACTAGATTTAGAGACCTGAGAAGTCCCTTAAATGAGTATGTCTATGACTCTCCAACTATTGACACTTCTCTTGAATGGGTTTATAATTTCTCTAAAAAAGAGCAGAAACTTGAGGGTAAGGGGCATAAGATACTTAGATTTCGGTTCAAGAAGGAGGAAGGGCCTTTCTTCCAATGGAGTATGGAAATGAAATTTCCATTCTACACTGAAGGTGGGTAGGCTAGAAATCACTGCACAGGGGTGGGGGTGAACCTTGGGGAAGAAGAGAAGTAGATTTATAGGGAGAGCCAAGAAAGAAGTGGTTGTTCCAGGTAGGGAATAAAGGAAAATTATGCTAGCTTCACATCTGTGCCTAAGGTCCCTATTGACAAAGACTCTCTGCATTAGGTAGTAAATCGGACATATGAATGCTGCTACAACTTTATAAAAGGAAACTCTTATTTCATTACCAGAAGTACAAAGATTTAATTATTATGTCAGAGCTTCTACTTCTACACTCATTAGTTTATATTTACCTGCTTGCTCACTAGTTAATATTTACAAGTCACAGTTTCTTAGATTTTATAGGGACTCTTGATGTAGAAGATTAAAGTTTGTAAAACATCAGTCTTATAGTGCTTCTTAAATTTACAGGTGTAAACCTTCTGGTGGGGACTGAAAATGGCCTGATGCTTTTGGATCGAAGTGGGCAAGGCAAAGTCTATAATCTGATCAACCGGAGGCGATTTCAGCAGATGGATGTGCTAGAGGGACTGAATGTCCTTGTGACAATTTCAGGTATGTTACTAAGATGATGAGTCCCCAGGTCCAAACAGGTGGGAAAGGTGACCACCCCTTTTCTGCAGAAACAGTTAGCTCTGCCCTTCCCAGCTAACAAGCAACTCACTAAAGTATTGCAGTATAGCCAGAGTGAGGTTGCGCACATTTTGTAACACTGGAGACTGTGACCTCCAAAAAAAAAAGGCTCTCACCTCTGCATTGAATCTGAATTAGGCACAGACACACCACAAAGGCTATATATTTATAGCTCTTTACATCTGTCAGGACTCAGCAAGGATCTTCAGATCTTTTTAGGTTTCAGAACTCCAGTTATTACCACATACAGACGGAATATCAAAATGCAGGCTTCCAAGAGGGACATTCAGTAAGCAGAAATTTCTCTGGTCTCTTCCCTCAAGAAATTCTCTTGCTTACAGTCCACTGATGTTTTGGCAGGTGCAGCTGGTACACTGGATGGTCAAGTCTACAAAGAGATTTGAGTGTGGGAATCACTACTGCAATACTCTGTATTCCCAAAAAGAGCTTTAAAAAGGAAAAAAAAAAAGATGGAAACTAAAGTGAAGGCCTTGTTACTGATAAAAATGCAACCTAAAAGAGGGAAGTTTTGTTGGAAGAAAGTTCTTTTTTTTTCTTTTTGATGGTGTTTGAAGGAGTCTAACAAGTAATACTCTTCACTTCACTCTCCCTTCCATTCCATCTAGTATGGAACCAACTTGCTACTACTCTTTATAATCACCTAGGGAGATGTGAAAATCCAGGCTGTACCCCCAGACCAGAGTCAGAATCTCTAGGGGTGGGTTTAGGCATCAATAGCTTTCACAGTTCCTGAGGTGTTTCCATTGTTCAGCTAAGTTTGAGAACACGGATTTATGTGCAGCCATTGTTTCATGAAGAGACACTAGAGGGATACTGGTTTGAACCTTAAAGTTTAACTCTTCAACTGTACTTCCATTTTGACAAAATGCTTTTGCTTGTCACTAAACTTCCTCTTTCTTTTACCTTTCCACTGAATGCTCAGTTTCATCTCTTTTTATTCTCCCCAAATAAGGTTAACCAGGTAAATTCCTTTTGTATTACCATTTGAGTTTAATTCCATGTAGTCCTTTGTTCTGGTTAATTGCTTTCTTGATTGCTATACTACCAAATCAAAATTAAAACTGTGTATCTGCCACTCACCTACCAAAAGTGGAAATGCAACACAGAAAATTCAGATTCAGGCTTCATTATGTTGTTAGTGACACATCTTCATTCCTTTTTTTTTTTTTTCTTTCTGAGACGGAGTTTTGCTTTTGTTGCTCAGACCGGAATGCAATGGTGCGATCTTGGCTCACCACAACCTCTGCCTCCCGGGTTCAAATGATTCTCCTGCCTCAGCCTCCTGAGTAGCTGGGATTACAGGCATGTGCCACCACGCCCAGCTAATTTTGTATTTTTTTAGTAGAGATGGGGTTTCTCCATGTTGGTCAGGCTAATCTTGAACTCCCGACCTCAGGTGATCCGCCCACCTCTGCCTCCCAAGGTGCTGGGATTACAAGTGTGAGCCACCACGCCCGGCCACATCTTCATTCTTAACAGTGTAAGCATTTCCTTTTCTCACGAGGCACAGATGGGAAAGGATAAAATGAAAATAGGAGCAAAAGGTTCTTGAACTAACCTTGGATTCATATTGGCATAGAAAGGAGGAAACACTGGCTCTCGTGTCAATCCTAGCTATTGTGATCACTGTGCGTTCCCGGCCTTAGGCTACAAAAATGAATACTGACTATACCATGATTCCCTGAGTTTAGGGGACAAATGTGCTCTCCTGTCAAATGCATGTGGAATGCTTTAATAAATTCTCTTCTGCTTGTATATATTAATCTATAAAATATAAAACATTTTAAAAGCCTAAGATAAAGAAAAATAAGTATCCAAATACCAAAACCCATAGGGCTAAATTTATCATTAGTTGGGAAGAGTCATCCCAATAGACATTTTATCTGGTGCAAATAATCTAATGGAGTATATTAAGTTTTGTTATTTGTGTACTCTTCAATATTGTCTCGATTTTTTATTATTATCCTATGAATTCTTTATTCTAAGATCACCTTACCAAAAGGAACTTTGTTTTCAAATCCACATCCTTTCTTTCCTTTTGTATTTTTGTTCAGTATTCCTTTCAGTGACTTCAGCACCAAAAGCTTGTCCAGTATTATTTTCTGAACCCATATTATCCTCTTGTTTTCTTTCAAAATAACTTTTTTTGGTTAAGTGAAATAAAACTACTATCAGTTGTCATCTTTAAAGTAGTAGAAGAGACAAATAAGAGGGTCTTCATTAACATCTGTTGTTAGGTTACAGGGTGAAGGAAAGGCAGGTGCCAAAATGCCGTTGTCAACACTTCTTCATGTGATTAATCTAGAATGTTCTGGAACTCTGATCAACCACTCTGTTGAAGAGTTAGCTCTTACTAACTTCAGCAGACACTGCTTTGCATTGGGAAGAGAATAAGAGCAGCATGCTCAAATAAGAAACCGCCTCAAGATAAAGACGTTGTAATTTTGTGATGTGTCTAAAACACTTAGAGCTGTTTTAACCATAAGTTCTGGCAGAAACAACACTTTAATGATAAAGTGCTGGGAACACTGGTTATTATGCCTTCACACACAAACACACATACACATAAACAAAATAAATTAAAAATAAATGGAAGAGGGGAAGGAAGGAGTGAGAGCTGTCACAGGGATTTGAAATTAAAGCTCTATTATTTCAACAGGAAAGAAGAATAAGCTACGAGTTTACTATCTTTCATGGTTAAGAAACAGAATACTACATAATGACCCAGAAGTAGAAAAGAAACAAGGCTGGATCACCGTTGGGGACTTGGAAGGCTGTATACATTATAAAGTTGGTAAGTCTCAAGACATGGAATTGTAAGTTTAGCCTCATTTACTCAATCAGACTTTTTTAGTTAGGTTTTATTTAGTTTTTTTTATTCAGATTGATGATGTATGTGTGACCAGCTTCAGATGTTGCTGGAACCTTCAACACTATTTAAATATTTTTTAAAGCAAGATTGATGAAATTGACAGAGTGCAGTCAGAGTAAGGTCCTAGGCTCCAGTTTGAACATTTATATCTCCTTTTTCCAAAGACTCATTAAAATGATAAGAAAAGAATAAAAATACCATAAGCCTATGAGAGCAAGAGAAGAGAAGAGATGTCAATAAAATCGAAAGAGTAGCTGAGTGACTGGAAAAAGACTTAGAATATCAGGAAATTCTGAATTCTGAATCTGCAGTGAGGAAAATGATCAAAATCAATCCAACAGAACCCAGAAAGGCCCAGGAACTAAGGCCCCAGGGGAATCTGAGGTGGAAATGCATGTATAAGATGGGACTGAAAATAGAATTGTTAGAAAATTCATGAGCAGCAAGTCTTCCAGAGCCCAGTCTCCACCTCTGAGCAGCGAGGCCACTACCCTTCTCCACTGCAACAGAAGATGAAAGGTTTACACAGCCAATGTGAGGACGGGAATACTTGTGAAAACACACACACATACACTTCCCTTTATCCCCTATTTAGCTCCCAAATAGCCATGCTTATACTCCCTAGGAAGAGACTGAAAGATTTGTCTTTGGAGAAACTAAAGGGCCAGAAAGAAAAGATGTACAGGTACTAACATTTGAAGTGCCATGAAAAAGCTTGCTGCCTAACTACCCTGAAGTGAAGCCCAGCAGTTGATAAGCCCATCTATACCAGAGAGTGGAGAAATTCACAAATACGAAGGAGACCTAAACAAACAAGAAGAAAGGACATTGGAAGAAACAGGGATAATGAGGAGTGGAAGAAAATGTAAAAAGAAAGGAAGGAAGGAAGCAAGAAACTATAATAACTTTAAAGAGATCAGAAAACTTCTTTCTATAAAAAAAGAAGTGGGCTATTAAAAAAAAAGGTAGAGCAAAGTAGGGGGAAGTCATTCAGAGGCCAAGAAAAAAAATTGCAAACTAAAATGTATTGGCAGAAATAAAAAAATGTAATAAAAGTGTTAGAAGATAAGCAATTCTCCTAAAGAGTAGTACAAAAAGTAAAGCAGAGAAAATATAAGAAAATAAAAAGATCAGTACAAGTCTTTCAAAATCTAAGTAATATGAGTTTTAGAAAATAAAAAATGAAAGGAGAGGAAAGTATTGAGGAAAGAATACAAGAAAGGTTTCTAGAACTAAAAGCCTTGAATTCCCACATTAAAAGGAGTCACCGAGTTTCCAGGATACTGAATGAAAGACTCACAAGAAGACATAACAAAGTATTTCAATACCTAGGAAATGAGAAGGTCCTTAAAACTATCAAGGCCATCACACTGTAAGTAAATAACAGTTTACATATAATAGACCCAGAATCAGAGTGTCCTGGGACGTCTCAGCAGCAATATAGAAGCTTAAAAGACAATACAATACAGCAAGGCCTTCCAAATTCCCCACAAAATTATTTCCAACTAATATTTTATAGCCCACCTGTGTTACAGTTAAGAATAGTGTATGTGTGTGTGTGTGTGTATACATATACATATATGTATACACATACATATATGTGTGTATACGTATACACACATATATGTATACATACATATATGTGTGTATACGTATACACACATATATGTATACACATACATATGTGTGTATACGTATACATACATATATGTATACACATACGTGTGTGTGTGTGTGTGTGTGTGTGGATATATATATGGAGGGAGAGAGAGAGAGAGGGAGAGAGATTTATTATAAGGAATTATTTCACATGACTATAGAGGCTGAAAAGTCTCAAGATCTGCAGTCAGCAAGCTGAAGACCCAAGAGAGCAAAGGTTTAAGTCTAGTTCTAATCCAAAGGCCTGAGAACCAGGAGAGCTGACGGTGTTGTTCCACACTGAGCACTGGTAGGCTCAAGACCCAAGAAATGCTGATGCTTCCAAGTCCAAGTCTGAAGGCCAGAAAAGACTGATGTCCCCTAGCTCAACCAAGCAGGAAGAGTTGGCCTTTTTGTTCTAGTCTTGTCTCCAAATAATTGCATAAGGCCTGTCCACAATGGGGAGGGCAGTCTACTTTATCAATTCTACTGATTCAAATGTTACTCTCGTCCAGAAATACCCTCACAGACACACCCAAATATCTGAGCACCCTATGGCCCAGTCAAGTTCACATGAAATTAACCATCATACCATCAAGCCATCAGTCAATTTTGAGTGCAACAGAAAGACATTTTCAGTCATGCAGGTCTCAAAAATTTACATTTCATGCACCATTTCTCAAGAAGCTACTGGAGGATGTGTTCCACCAAAATAAATAACTAAACCACATAGTCCAGGAAGATGAAGAAAATACCCAGAGTGATGGTGACGGGGACAATGCAGGCAGCAGATGTCTCCATGAAAAATAAAATGATATAAATAGTTTACGTGCCGTGTTTGAGCATATTGAAGGGCATTTATTAGCAGAAAGTTTACATGTGCTTAGAGATAGATACATAGAAAACAAGGAATTAAAAAAAAATAAGGAGAAACAAGAAGGAAAATGTAACCATGGTATACTACATGCCTCAGTTGTGAACAATAATAATTTTAATACTTGATATTGATTTAACCAAAAATTTAAAATATAACTATATTAGAGTTTACAAGAGTAAATCATGTGTATATGTATAAGAAGTAGAAGCTAGAGAAGGAAATGATATAAGAAATTAAATCCTTTCCATACTACAAAGTCAGAAAATAATGTCTGTGATTGAAAAAAAAAAAGTCAAGAAATAAATAATATTATAATCATTTGGTTTAGAAATCTGGAAATAAATTGCTGAAAGAAATATTTGAAAGAGTTGCAATTGGTTGTTTTTAGGGAGGAGGAATCAGCAGGTAGGCAGGGACTTGTTTTTCATAAGCGCTGTAGAATTGACTTTTTAAAACAGGTACCTGTAAGACTTGTTCAATGCATAGCTGATAAAAATAAGAAAATATGTGGAGACTTTTAAAATGTATACTGGATAAAATGCATTAATTATTTAGCATAAGGAGTGACAATAAAGGAGCGGCAGAGGAACTTTAGACACCTTCAGTTCAAAGGAGTCCATGATGTGGTCTCAGAAGAGTATGAGACACATTTGAAATTTTAACCAGTCACGTGGATCCAGTCATGTGTGTTGACATCATGTCGGCTGAAATCTAATCAAGCGTATTAAAGACAGAATGTGAAAACAGAAGGAGCATGCTATAAAGAAGAGCTCAGAAAGCAAGAACTTTAGTGTGTCATATTCTGCCAACTAGAAAGAGGACTCTATTCTGAAGCAGAGTCTCTACCTCCCTTTCCTCTAATTTCAGTACAAGTGACATTCCCTCATGCCTTAACACTCGGAAGTCTTGGGGCTGGCTAGTGAACTTGAAGGTTTAGTTCCTGAAGGGACATGTTCCTCAATGTTTATTAATAATGTGTCATTCACAGTTTTACAAAATTAAAAAAAAAGCTTCTGACCTTACAACACAGATAATGTATGTGTTGATAAGTATAAAAGGCAGCTTTTGGAAAAAAATAAATATCAATGTCTGTAAACATATGTAGCCACAGTATTTGTTTAAAAAAAGGGAATGGATTTTCAAAGGACACAGCATTCTTCACAAATAAGACCACATGGGGGAGTGTTTTTCTATAGCATGCTGGGTAGCAGTGCAAGCTATTATGTGCTCCACTGTGCATTTTTGTTCAGGAATCAGAATTATCTGATACTAATAGGATGCCCTGGAGTTTTAATTTTTTCTTGTCCCCAGTCTGATAATTTGGCAAAGCATAAAACATACATATCATTCTCGCACCAAATAGAATTCAGATTCATAGGCATATTTGGTTTTTTTTTTTAAAATAGTGAGCTTCCTTCTTTGAGAACAGGCCATGTTTTCAGAGGACAGCAATAGAAACAATTTCAAAGCTGTTTCCTTTTGAGTATTTTGCCTTTATTACTTGGCATTTATTAGTCCAAAGATTTCTAGTGATCAGATTTTGTGTTCACGAACTAATTAATACTTACTATATGATTACAGAGCAATAAAATGCATTGCAGGAAATAATACAAAATTTCTGAATATTATCTCTTGCACATACCTGACAAGTGTTTCTCAAAAACACCAGGCTGCGGGAATCCTATTTGACTTGCACATCTACTGTTGGCCCTTCTGACGTTTCTGACGTCTTCCTTCTAAACATTGCCGTCTCTTCGTTGTCCTCACATCAGTAGGCTGATCTATATATACACATGCAAAATGAAATGTAACCAAAGAGCAAAATCCGGTAATTCTCTATCAGAAAACTGAGACCAGCTTAATTTTCAGAAACACAGTTTGCTTTAGTTATCCAAAGAACCACTTGCAGTCTCCACTCTGCTTCCCTTGTGAAACTCCAGCCACAACAACACTGAGATCTTTTTGTGGCACATAATTATTCTAGTATGCTCAAATTCTTGTGAAATTTTAAAAGTATAAAATTAGAATAAAAAAGAAAGGCAAATCGTATATCCAAGAGTCATTTAACATATTTCTTGATTTCTCTGAGCCTGTATGTGCTTAGATAAAATTTTATTTTCAAGGCTATTTTAAATTTATTTTAAAATATGAACTTATTTATTTCTTCTTTCACCCTAAAAATCAGCAAAATCTGAATGGATTTTTTTCTTTTTTTTTTTTTTAATTTATTTCAGATTCAGGGGTACATACACAGGTTTGTTGCGTGGGTATATTGCATAATGGTGAGGTTTGGGCTTCCAGTGAACCCATCACCCAAATTGTAAACATTATACCCAACAGGTAAATTTTCAGCCCTTAACCTGTCACTCTCCTTTTAGAGTCCTCAGTGTCTATTATTTCCAGTCCTCAGTGTCCATTATGCCCACATGCACCCCATTGTTAACTCCCACTTATAAGTGAGAACATGTGTTATTTGACTTTCTGTTTCTGAGTTATTTTGCTCTAGGAGACTGGCCTACAGCTCCATCCATGTTGCTGCCAAGGGCGTGATTTTATTCTTTTTATGGCTGCATAGTATCCCATGCTGTATATACACCATAGCTTCTTTATCTAATCAACCATTGACAGACAACTTGGATTGAAACTATGACCTTGCTGCTGTGAACAGTGCTGCAATAAACATAGAAATGCAGGTGCCCTTTTGATTAAAAAAAAAAAAAGTTATTTTCCTTTGGGATTTACCTGGAAGTGGAATTGCTAGGTAGAATGGTAATTCTATTTGTAGTTCCTTGAGAAGTCTCCATACTGTTTCCCAAAGAGATTGAACTAATTTACATTCCCACCAACAGTGTATAAGCATTCCCTTTTCCCTGCAGTGTCACCACCATCTGTTTTTTTTTTTTTTTTTTTTTTTTTTTTTTCACTTTTTTGTAATAGCCATTCTGACTGGTGTGAAATGATATCTCACTGTGGCTATGACTTGCGTTTCTCTGATGATTAGTGATATTGAGCATTTTTCCATCTGTTTGCTGACTGCTTATATGTCGTCTTTTGAGAAATGTATGTTCATGTCCATTGCCCACTTTTTAATGGGATTGTTTGTTTTTTTTTCTTGTTAAATTGTTTGCATTCCTTGTAGAATTTTGTTCATGCATAGTTTGGCAAATATGTTCTCCCATCATGTAGGCTGTCTGCTTACTCTGTTGATTGTTTCTTTTGCCATGCAGAAGCTCATTAGCTTAATTAAGTCCTGCTTGTCTGTTTTTGTTTTTGTTGCATTTGCTTTTGAGGTGTTAGTCATAAACATGTTACCTAGGCCAATATCCAGAAGTTTTTCCTAGGTTTTCTTATTATAGTTTTTGGTACATGTAAGTCTTTAATCCATCGTTGATTAATTATTTTATATGGTGAGAGATGAAAGTCTAGTTTCATTCTTCTTCATATGGCTAGCCAATTTTACCAGGGTGTCCTTTTCCCATTGTTTATGTTTGTTGACTTTGTCGAACATCAGTTGGTTGTAGGTAAGTGGCTTTATTTCTGGGTTCTCTATGCTGTTCCATTGATCTATATGTCTATTTTTGTGTCAGTACCATGCTGCTTTGGTTATTACAGTCTTACAGTATAGTTTGAAGTTGGGTAATGTGATGCCTCCAGCTTTGTTCTTTTGGCTTAGGATTGCTTTGGCTATTTGGGCTCTTTTTTGGTTCCATATGAATTTTAGAATTGTCTTTTCTAATTCTGTAAAAAATGACATTGGTAATTTGTAGACTACTTTTGGCAATATAGTCACTTTAACAATATTGATTCTTTCTATCCATGAGCATGTTTTTCCATTCATTTGTGTCATGTATGGTTCTTTCATCAGTGCTTTGTAATTCTCCTTGTAGGGGTCTTTCACCTCCTTGGTTAAATGTATTATCCTAGGGCTGTGTGGTGTGTGTGTGTGTGTGTGTCTATTATAAATGGGATTGAGTTCTTGATTTGATTCTCACCTTGAGCATTATTGATGTAACTGATTTTTGTGCATTAATTTTGTATCCTGAAACTTTACTGAAGTTACCAGCTCTAAGAGTCTTTTGGAGGAATCTTTAGGGTTCCCTAGGCATAAGATTCTGTCATCAGCAGAGATGATTTCACTTCCTCTTTTCCAATTTGGATGCCTTTTATTATTTTTTTTCTTGCCTGACTGTTCTGGCTAGGACTTCTAGTACTATAGGAGTGATAAAAGTGGAAATTCTTGTCTTGCTCCAGTTATTAGGGGGGATGGTCTTAGCTTTTCCCCATACAGTATGATATTGCTGTGGGTTTGTCATATATGGCTCTTATTATTTTGCGATATGTTCCTTCAATGCCTAGTGCTGTGGATCTTTTCCTAGGTTTCAGGTGAGGATGTTCAGCAAAAATAGTATAATAAACACTTTATGTCACGAAGAGTTATAAAGCAAATAACTGGAAACTTAATGTCATCTAAGTATATTAAATTTTTTCCTACCTAGTTTCTTTAGGACTCAGAATATTCTGTTTGTTGAGATTATTTTTTCAAACTGACTGCCATGTGTACCATCTGTGGATTACAATTTCTCTAAGAATTAGAATCTACACTTAATAGCAAAAGATTTAGAAGGCGCTTAAAGAATTGTTTGACCTCTCAAGGCCATCACTGTAAATATTGTTTATTATTGTATCAGAGACACACACACAGGTAAGAGTAATCAAGAGAATGCCTGACAATAGGCTGTTCTTCCATTCATCCATTCAATAAGCATTTATTGAGTACTACACTTTATGTAGGCAAAAACATTATAGGGACTCAGTCACTTAACCAAGTTTCTGTCCATAGAATTTACAATGCTTAATATTTCATCTTTCTAAAGAGTAAAGGATTTGTCAAAGTATTCGGAGCCCTTAAAAATAAGTCATTAACAGAACCCAAGGCTCCTAACACCCACTTTCATGAGAAGCGTAAACAAGCAATTATTTCATTTAGTAATTGAAATATAAATAATAAGTAATAAGCAAACAGCAGCCTTTATGTCTGCCTATTTGCTAATTTTTCTACCATTTTGCCCTATCAACTCTCAGCTACTTATGTCTGGGTGAATGTAAAACCCAGGCAAGCTAACATGAAGGAAATTATGCACATTCTTATCACAATGAATATCAACATCTAGACCTAGCATTAAAGACAGTTGTAAGCAGTTACACCTCTAAATGATGCAAAGAGTCTTCAATATATAGCAAAGTCCATAAGTATTCTGCCAACCAAAGTTCACCAATGGGAAGCTAAATCAGTATCTGTGAAAAAAATCCTACACCAGGAACATCACCTGCAATTGGGGTTTATATATTTAAATTTATATATTGTTGCTTATACATTCATTAATCTTAATACAAAAAACTTGAATAAATTGATGCACTTTTTAACTCATAATTTTTCTATTACAGTTAAATATGAAAGGATCAAATTTTTGGTGATCGCCTTGAAGAACGCTGTGGAAATATATGCTTGGGCTCCTAAACCGTATCACAAGTTCATGGCATTTAAGGTAAGCAGCCATGTGATTATCTAAAATGTCCTTTTTAAAATTTTTCAGTTTCTACCAGTTAACAAAATTGTCCATATAGACCAATACTAATTTTCATATGGATAATAAACCTGTTTTAAAAGTGTAGGTACTCTAGGGTTTATTGTTTCAAAACTAAAGACTGAGTATTTGTAAATGCTATAAAATTAGATTAAAATTTGGGTATGCCCTCCTCCTTGAGATCTGTGAATCATAATCCTCAAAGGCATTTAGAATGGTTAGTAGGCGTATCATTGATTATGATCTTGTGCAATGATATTTGTTGTAAAGCCACCACCTAAACCAGGGTATTTCCTGGTATTTTGTTTGAGAAAGGCAGACAAATGGCAGCACTGAATCTCAGAGTTAAACTGAGCCTCAAAATCTTTTAATCCTTATAAATCTTTCTGGCTGAAGTCCCTAAAACTCAGGTGATGCTTATATGTCCCCAGTGCTCACTTAGGGAAATGACCTAGTTTCTCCGCATTCTCCTATTTTGATCGTCTTTTCATTTTTTGCCATGTCTACGTCTGTACCCACCATGGTTGGACTGGTCACTCATGAGATTTGCCAGGAGTGGGATGGAGATATGCTAGTCCTGTTGACTCCAGCTCATGAAGCTGACACCCATATACTAGGAGGACCAGTTCTTACAGGGACCCAGATGTGTTCAGAGCCACATCACCTATCTATAGCCCAAGTGAACTTATCTTGTCTCTTGTGTGCTCGCGCTTGCTCACGCGTACTCTCTTGCTCTCTCTCTCTTTCTCAGCTTATGTCTGTCTACTACTTCTTTATGTCTCATTGGCTCTCACTTTCTCTCCCAACCTTTATGACTGTTATCTCCCTTTGGCTCGTTATTAATTCTTTTCTGCTACATTAGCCCTGGAGGGCAAAACTGCCCTGGGAACACTATGCAGGCCCACTTCAGAGCTGAATCACTTCTATCTTTTTCCCTTAATTCAAATGGCTTATTTGTAATGTGCTCATGAAAATAGATTCATTAATGGAAATGGGCTCCCCTCCATAACCTCACTTTTATGGGAAAAATGGAATGCATTAGGTTAGTAATAACAATTAAGAGATAACGCCTAAAAGCCAAAGTGGTACTCCTGGCCTACCAAAATCTGTCACCCCAAAAGCTTTACAATCAATCTCCCATTCCGTTTCTTGCTCTGAAGTTGCTGCCATCATTTTACAACCCAGAGCACATGAGAGAGTGCAAAATTTTCTTTCTGGCAGACCAGATCCAGCCCAGAAAGAGGGAAGGGCAAAGGCAAAGACTTAAACAGAAAAGAGTAGAAGCAACAGGAGGCCAAGCCTTCCAATAGGACAAGGACAGGAGGCTAGAGCTTCCCATGCTGTGAGAATGGTGTTAGCAAAAGATGAGAAGAGAAGGATCTGAGAGGTGGCAGTGGCACTATAGCTAAGGTAATTGTAGTTTCACAACTCCTCCCCCACATATCAAGGCCCAGTAAATGTAGAGTGGAGTGTAGTTAAAAAATAGCAAAGGAAAATGACAGAGGAACACTTGACAGTTAGCTGGGGCTTGGGCTCTGGATTCAAACACAGAGAATTTTGGCAAACTTGGCTAGACCTCTCTTTTTGCTTTCTAGTTAAACCCAAATAGTCAGTGCAAGCCATCACTCTTGTGATGTTCCACTCCACCTCTTTCTCTATCACCCAAACCCAAGTCTCAGGTTCCAACATTGAGTTAAGAGAAAGTGCCAGTCTTATCCCCACTCATTCACTGAAGAAAAATCCAAACCAGAGCATGCCCATTAATACTGAACAAGCTGAGAATAGAGCTGACCAGACTGTCTCTGAAAAGGTAGTTGCTGTGGGCCTGGTTGCCACATGGGAAAGAGAGGGGCTAGAGAGGTGACTGGACCTTCTTCAGAGAACAAAGGCCAGAAATAGGAAAAAAACAGCAGGACCCAGGCACCAAGTTTTTAATATACAGTAACACCATCAAAATTTACACCTGTGCACCAACTTAAACGTCTCTGCCCTAGAGGACAAAGGGTAGATAAAGGGGCACAAATGGATGCCTAGACCCTTCCTCCTAGAGCCAGAATATCAACAGACCTAAAACAAAGAGAAATGTTCTAGTTTTTCACTTTAATAAAGTTACAAGTTAACTTTCTCTAGACAGTGGCTAAAGGAAAAAAAAAAAAAAAAAAAAAAAGATACCTCTTTGAGTGATGCAGATACTAATGGAGTGATTTTTAAAGTCTTTTGCAGATCTCCAGCATAAGCCTCTACTAGTTGATCTCACAGTAGAAGAAGGTCAAAGATTAAAGGTTATTTTTGGTTCACATACTGGTTTCCATGTAATTGATGTTGATTCAGGAAACTCTTATGATATCTACATACCATCTCATGTAAGTACCCAGAAGTAGACTTTCAAGGGCCCTCTGTACAACAACATGCATATAGAAAGGGATTTATTTTGCATAGTTTTAGTAGAAATCATGCAAACTTTACTAACCAGCAGATAGACTTTTGTTCTTCATTAAATAGACTGCTTTTAATAACTAAAATACATAAATTTAATTTTGATATATTTTAATCAAATATATAAAAATAATAAAATCAATTATTCCTAAAACTGGGGAATACATAATAGAAATTATTTGGCATTTACATGTTGTCTCTATGGACTTTAGATTAAAATGAATATGATATTTTGCTTTCAAGGGCATGAAATATATTCAGTAGATGAGTTTCCACTTTCATTTTTTGAAGGGAAATTGGTTCATTCTATGTTAGAGAAAGCCAATGGTCAGGTACTAATTTATTAGAGAAAATTCTTTTTTTGCTGTTTTTAGTTCCTCTCTTCAGCTTTAGGGCAGGGTGGTATAGTGGAGTCAGACACAGTGGCGCTTGTACCCTGGCTCTAGAATGTATTAGCTTTGCAGTAGTGGACAGTAGGCAGCCTCTCCCATCCTCAGCTTTAGCATCTGTAAAATGTGAATAAAAGGACTTATCCCATAATCCCATAGGATTGTCATTAGTATTAAATAAGGTAATGGATCTAAAGCAGTTGGTACAGGGCCCAAGAAATTGTAGATCTTATTAGCCCTAAAATATTCATATTAATATCCTGACATATTGTCTGAAATATAAAGGGAAATGCTGCACACGGATTTGCTTATTAGAATTAGTGTAGTGTAAATTGTCCTGTGTGTAATTCCAAGGCTACTGTACAGGAGAAACTATCAGGAATGTCTGAAGCTATTGCTGACTGGTATTTTGAGAATTTGAAGACTTTATTCTAATGAAATACAATAACTGAAAAAAGTTGTTTTAGTACATTACATACACACACACGATTGCCATTCATTCCTGCATTACAGCTTTTAACTCATGTGTATGTGGGTGCACACAAGGACTCACCTGGTGATCATCCTCAACTCTCTTATTCCAATCCGTCAAGCACATGTTGGGCTGCCATGGCATTCTCAACCAGGGGACACACAACACCACATTTCCCTTCCAAGAACATATTAATACATACTTACTTCAATAATAATCTTTTTAAATGAGTGGTAATTCTAAATATTTTTTCTAAGCAAGCCATAAATTATTCTAATTATTCTGGCATTTAGACACCCAGATATATATATATATATATTCACAGATTATTTTGGTAGGAGTTCATTTTGACCCCACTTTAGCTATCTCCATTAGATTCAGCTGGCTTACATTCTCCTCATCTTTTTTTGGAAGTGGTCGCGCTAATAGAAAACACATCAAAAAATGTCAGCAAGATGTACACAAATCCCAACACTACCACCAAATACTAGCACAGGTTGGGTCAAGTCACAAAGCCCTTCTGAGAAGCAGTTTCCTCATCTGTAAACAAAGCTATCTATCTTGGGGAGCTTTCTAGAAATTACCTATGTAAAGGGCCCCATGATTGGCTCATAGCAGGTGTGCCATATATTTACATGCTGTTTTTAGGAACAGGTAAATTGAATTCTTAATCTAGTGACTAAGTTTGTACTTACCAGGGTATTTTACAAGTCAGTGGTACAATTAAAGCAAATTTCAGTCTTTAGAGTGACAATGAAAATAAAGAAAAACCGCTTTTTTTGCAGTTCTTAAACAGTTGAGGTGTTATTTTATTTTTAAAAAGAATAATGCTTGGCCTTTCTTTGTCTTCTAGATTCAGGGCAATATCACTCCTCATGCTATTGTCATCTTGCCTAAAACAGATGGAATGGAAATGCTTGTTTGCTATGAGGATGAGGGGGTGTATGTAAACACCTATGGCCGGATAACTAAGGATGTGGTGCTCCAATGGGGAGAAATGCCCACGTCTGTGGGTAGGTTAACCATTCCTTATCTCCTTCAGCAGTTACACCCCCCAAATGAAACGAAAATCAAGAAATGTGAAACAACCATTTGATTCCACACACAAAAAAAAGAGTCTGTGAATAACTCTTGTAAGACTTGCTTTGTACATTTATCTCAAGTCGTTTGTCATTTTTGTGGTTAAGATGTGAACAGATGCTGTGAGTTATTGCCCATCTAATGTTTTTAATGCAGTTTTGGAAATTCCTTTTGACAGCCTACATTCATTCCAATCAGATAATGGGCTGGGGCGAGAAAGCTATTGAGATCCGGTCAGTGGAAACAGGACATTTGGATGGAGTATTTATGCATAAGCGAGCTCAAAGGTTAAAGTTTCTATGTGAAAGAAATGATAAGGTAAATCCGTTTCAACATTTGCATTAGTGTTTGCATTTTAAGAGACCACCAGGTACCTGTGAAACCTTCATTTTCCTTTATACTGATTTGAATCACATCTGTGTTAAACAATCAATATTATCTTGAAATGGCATTATTTGGTTTGATTCTTGTGAACACTCAATATATTCACATGTCAAAAACTACATAAAAACATCTAGAAATTTCTTGTAAACCTCTTAGAAATTTTTATGGCCTAAAGTCCTTACAATGACTCAGCAGACACCCCAAATTCTCCCAAGCACTTAGAGCAGTTGGCCCATCGTTAACCATCTCACAGCGGGTCAACTTTGTGCTTCCACTTTTAGACTTTTCACAAAGTCACTTTCAAGACCTAACCAATCACCTTATATTCACCTTTAAATGCAAAACATTTGACATGTAGAAATATAAGCTTTTTTAAAATGTCACCCATTCCTTAAGGAATGCACAATCACAAACTCAACTAGTGCCATGTCTTGTGTCATTCCAGCCATGTTTCTTCTGAAATGTCATAGGTGAACTGTTTTCCAGTGAAATTGGCTGTGTCCGTCTGGCATGATCAGTCAGTCACCTCAGAAGGGTATTCTGCAGCAGGACTGCTTCTCCCTTACCCTCCCTGTGCAGTAACCCCAAGGTCTTAGTAGCTAAGCCGTACTGCATTTGTGAATTCATCCTTTGTGGCTGAGGCCAACATAGAAATGCTGTCCCCAAAGCCACAGACATAAAGCCTCTAGAAAAACAGTATGATGGGTTGAATTTTTGTACATCCCTCTGTCCATCCCAGTTCCCCCGAGGTCAGGTTGGCCTTAGTCCAACCCTGGTAATACGGGCCTAAACTATATTCAACCCTGGCCTACTGCTCTGACATGATGTGGTCTGGGTGGACAGTAGCTGCAGGTGGCAAAGATGGTTCCAGGCATTTAGAGTTTCTCAGAAAACTAACATAACCTAGTTAAAACTCCAGCCCCCACCCAGGCTTTAAGAAACAAAAACCTAGGAGTGATCTGGGTATGGATACCCACACTCCAGTTGAAAATCTACCCTAGCAGGCCTGTTCTAAACCATGCCATACCCTTAGAAGTAGGCTGGGACCATACCAGTGTCTGATACCCAAGGTTTACAGCCAGGGACACATGACTTGGAGGGAACAGCAGCCCTTTCTCTTCTTCATTGTGGTTTTCCATGGGCCCTCTCCGTCCTTCTCCGTTTTGACTCACTGAACCTAAGAGTAGCTTTACTTTCATATGTAGCATTAGCTGAATGTCAAGCATTTCCACAGACCTTCCTAAGAAGTTGGTGTTGGGAGACAGCATTCTTCTGAAGAAGCTGTGGAAATGAAGTAGCAGAGACTTTATACTAGTGACAGAAGCAAATGCCTCAGACCAAAGTTAGGTACTGGCTGACTCAAGGGCTAGGCCATAGCCCAAAATATTATTTCCCTGGGGCTGTGGTTCTTCTTTTACCTTCAACATTCAGCTCAAGCAAGCAGTAACCCAAATTTTTCTCATGTTTGTCAATTGATAAAATGACTTGACAGACTCAGACCCAATGGACTGTGGTTCTACTTGTTAATGCTCTGATCTCATTTGCCCTGGGATATGCCAGCATCAGCAGAGAAACCAGGCACTAACTCTTGAAATGCCAAAATGAGTAGGCATTAAATACCTTGCCCTATCTGACCACACAGTTTAATGTTTTTATCTTAAATTTTACAATTGAAATCTGAAATTGTATAATAGCCAGTAGACCTAAAACTTCTCCTTGACTTTGGGAATGTGAAGGGATTCCCTTCCATCCTTAAGTCTACTTTCTTGTCATTTATGGGTGAGAGAGGGGAAGCTTCTGTGCCTTTCTAGAAATTAGCAAAGATCCTGTTGGGTCCTAGGCCAGAAATTTAGCACGTTATGCTAGCATGAAACTCCCTTTTAAAAAGTGAGCATGTTACAAATCAAGATATAGCCCCTTCAGCATCTCTGGAGGCCAGTACCACAATAAGTAATAATAACAGCTGTAGGAAAAAAGGCTGGAGTTTTTACATAGGATGCACGATATCCAAAGGCACTTTATAAACACGAGCCATTAAGTCTTAAGACCTGACACGTGGCGAGGATAAGACATGTGAGAGAAAATGGATGGACGGTTGAAGAAAAGAGGGGAAAAAACCATGCAGTTGAACTAACTTCTTTTTAATTTCAAACAGGTATTTTTTGCATCCGTGCGATCTGGAGGAAGTAGCCAAGTGTTTTTCATGACCCTCAACAGAAATTCCATGATGAACTGGTAACAGAAGAGCACTTGGCACTTATCTTCATGGCGTTATTTCTAATTTAAAAGAACATAACTCATGTGGACTTATGCCAGTCTAGAGGCAGAATCAGAAGGCTTGGTCGAACATATCGCTTTCCCTTTTCCTCTCCCTCCGCCCCTCCCAAAACAGCCCATCTTTCAATGTTGCAGCCTGGTTGAGAAGGAGAGAGGTGGCAGGAATTTCCAGGAGATCCCCAAGAATGCTGCCTTGTCTGTGGACAGAGATGGACCGTGCGCCCTTCAGAGTTAGGGATAGAAACAAATATTGTGTGCTCTTAACGATTAAGCTGTGTTATGGTGGGTTTTCAGTTTTTACCTTTTTTCTTTACCCCTTTACTCTGTAAGAATGGGGAGAGAATGCATACTGAGAAAATGAGCCTGTTTTTAATTGTCTGCCTACTGGTTTTAAGTATATGGTATGTTGTAAAATTTCCAATTTCCAGTGATGAGAGATAGCACAATAAATGTACCTTATCTCCTTACACTGAAGGCCATAACTACATAGCGGGGTAATTTAAGAACTCTCTTGCCTTCACCAACCTAAAGGGTTGCTTTTTGATAGCAACTGGCTAATGAGTTTTTAAAAGAGAAGAAAAGTACTAGTTTTCCCCTCTTTTGGGAAATACATTTAAATGGCTAAACTCCTAGCCTTAAAACTACTAGTCTAATAAAATCAACTACCACTTTTGTGAATCTGACAGGCCATATTTTTATATGGCTCTTTACAAAATGGAGGGTGTTGAATAGGGTACTAATGCCACTGAGTTGAGCTGGCCTAGCAATTGAGGGACCTCAGCGATTATGCAACAGATTAGGGCAAAAGGTGGGATGACAGATGGGGTCACACAGAAAGAGCTTCTAGGAAACAAGCTTACATATTCTTTTTTAAAATGCACAAAGCCTCCCAGCTAAGAGGTCACTTGGTTTGGGCTTCATTAGGACTGAGACTTTGTTGAGTTCTTCCTGGGAATTGGGGAGCAGACAATATTCACGCTCTGAACATTCCCAGCCCTCTCCTGAGCATGCCACTTTCACAACATGAAAACTGTGACTGAAAAAATTATTAATGATGTTTCTGAGCTGCCTGTGTTCTCCCTGGGTGGGTTGAGAGAACGGACTAGACTCCTAAGCCTGCCTCAGATACAGGAGGCATCATTGGCTCTAATTTTAGAGAACTTGAAAGCAAGGCTTTGGACAAAATTTTGAGACCCTAATCACTTTTCCTTCCTCCAAATTACCCAACATACGGTAAACAACATTTGTGCAGAGATATGTATGTATTTAGTTCAGGTTGACTTGTGTCCTTATAAACTCTTAATCAAATGATTTGAACTTTCACGTGACTGGGACTTTTTTTCCAAAGCTACAAGCATGGCCGCCTGTGGTATCGAGGTGTTGCAAACAATATCTGTGTTGCGCTTCCTGTTTTAACCTACCTCGTTTTGTTTGTTTTTGTTTCACTGTTCATCACAGCAGTGTTATCTCCAGGAGACATATAGAGAGCTCAGCTGGCAATCTCAGGTGCATCTCACATTTTTAAAACAAAACAGTAGTTGACCAAATTTTTCTTCGTAAAAAAATTGGAGGTGGGGGGGAAATCCAATAACAAAAACTAATGTGGCTTGTTTCTAGAGAAAATAATTACTGTAAATGGATTTAAAAAAAAAAAAAGCTATGATCCTACTGATTTTGCCTAAATACATGAGCAGCTGATGTACTATTAATGAGAACGAAATACACATTAGGAAAATTGAGCCATTTCCATCTAGTGGTTTGGGCAAGATGGGGAAGAGAAGGGGAATCATTCTAGTTTCTGGATACATTATTATGCTTCTCCCGTAAAGGTGGTTGTCATTTGCATTTATTTAAAGCACGTAATACCCAGGAATGTAACTGAGGATTATCTATCTTCAGGCGATCAGCAAGATATCCTCCTCATGGTCACTTTAGCTCTCAAAGGCAATGAAATCCTCCTGTTCTCATTTTTACTGCTGTGGTTGTGCTGCTGAACAATACTATCTTCTCAAATTCCATGCCACAAATTCAGCAATAACTTTTTGGATTGAATTTAACAACTACTGTAATTGGATGCTGATGTGGACAAAATAGATTGATTTCAATTTCATTCCCGAATGTGATTGCCACCAACTCTTTATATTGCTGCTGTGGTATTTTAAACCAGAAGCTTCTTTAAATTATGTTGCAAACTGATCTTTGTTTTTATGTTTTGTTTTGTTTTTATTTCTAAGTGATAAGTTTGGAACACACAGCTTTAAATGATTTTTTAATTGTGGGATTTTGGGTACAGTTAAGAAATAAAAGGGAATCATTGTGTTTAAACATAAGGTAGTTTGTGAATGTATTTTTTAAAATCTAGATTCATTGAAACAAAAAAATCATAAGAAAACAATATTAATGCAGTCTTGTTTACAGTATGTACAGTGACATAACATAGAACATGAGCTTTTCTGGTGCCAACAATAAAACACAGACGTTAAACATCAAGCCATGCCTTTTATATTTTTGTACTAATATTTTATACGGAGTACAAGGCAAATCTAAGGTTAAAAGGGCCCCCCAGAAATCTATGCTTCTTAAAAGATTTTAAAGAATTCCTGGAAGATTTTATCTTCAAAAATAAATTTTCCTCCAGCAAGACAGACCCAGCCCTGATAAAAGGAGGCCTAGGTCACGCAGAATATGTCAGAATGGTGTTCCTGTGGCTCATCTAAACTTTTTGAATTGCCTTAATTCCTTTTTGGGGTAGGGGAGGAATGGTGGCTCTTAGTCTATTTTTATAACATCTCAATAACAAAATATTTAGTTTTGATTTTTATAGGTGATTTTATCTCTAGAAATTGGCTAATTTTATTATTTTCCTACAAAGAGAAAATGGAGAAACTGAGCCCTCCCCTCAGAGTAAGTTCACTAGATCAGCCAGTTCTTACTGCTCTAAATTAATCATCATCCAGTAAAATCTACTGAGCTTGCCCACACCACAGTTTGGGTGTGGGGTCTGACAGGTGACCATCATGCCTGGGTGCCAGTCAGGGATATTATAGCATGGATTCCTACATCCAGTGGTAGTAGGAATGGAAGACCAATGAAGTTCCTTCAAATGATAAGGCCCTTCCCCCTGCCACTTCCAGCTAGACCATTGTCACAGCACACAGGACAAAGGAAGACAGCTTTCAGTATGTTCCACATAAAATCTAACAGCTCTATTTTACATAGATCTCATTATTTTTCTTGAAGACTTGTAAACAATCCTTCAAGAAGACCTAGAACTATTATTTTTATTAAATGGTAGATTAAGTTATGGGTGAAATCTCACAAGGCCACCTGGACAGAGGCTCCATTTCTCTAACACTTTGACATTGTTTTCTATGGTACACGCTTACTATACTTTGCATTAAGTACATGTTTTTTTAAAAACACCTTAGTTCCTGGTTGTCAAGACCTACTAACAATTTTTTGTCTGCTCTTGTGACTCATTGGTAATTGGTGTCTCTGGTCCCTCCTGTCCAGTAGATTAGAAAGATGTGAAATTCAAGCTAGAACCAGTTTGGTTTTATCCACTGCCAGAAATGGAAGCGGCTAAAGTCTCACATTCCGTGAAGTTTAAAAATCTCTATATATGCTTTCCCTACTATTATGTGTACCAGTTCCTGTCACTGTATTCTGGAAACGTGGAAGAGCTCTTTGTGTTAACAGTGTGTGCTGTCTTTGAAAGTCGGCTTGAACAGGCATCACTTGTATTTGTGCTGGTTGCTTTAAGATGTAAGATGTGCTACATTATTTTTTAAGAAAGACGATAGTTATTGATAAAATTTTAATTTCAACCTGCAGGAAAACATGAGAAAATCCACAGCATGCTGATGACAATTTTGAATGACCCTACTGTGCTCATTATATTCCAGAATCTCCACTGAAACCATATTCTGATCATTTCAACAGCCTCTAACTTGTTAGATACCTTTTAGTTCATTCTTCAAAAATGTAAATCTAACTAAATCAAGTAAAACATAACCAACCAACCAACCAAAACCTGACCTCCCCTGAGACTACATAGTGGCAACATAAATCTAAAATCTAAAAGTCTAAATTGGATTTAATTTACCTGCTAATATTTCTCATAACTGCCACTACATTTTGTCCTTGGTCACTATATATCAGGAACCCTAAAGTGAGCTAGCTGTCCATGGATCTCAAATAAAATGGGTATAAAACTGATCTCTTTTCAGGGGTCCCAGCAAAGAAGAAAGTTTCTTGAGAATCTGCAAGATCAAAACTGACAATTTATGTATTTCTACCAAACATTTTCTAGATCATTTCATTTCTATACCATTATCCTGGGATTTTTTCCATAGATAACTAGAATATTCAACAATTTCCTTAGCATTAAACAATGTGAGATCCTAACCCTGTGCTTTGAACTTTATTCTTCTAGACCTGCCATTCCAGGAAGTGCTAGAATGTACCAAAATAAAAATCCTCATAAAAGCATTTTTTAAACAATCCCTGGGTAAGGTTTGAGTTATTTTAAATCCAGATAAAATCTTGGACTCTTCTGAGTCCATGATGACAAATGTTTCAATGAAAAGTAGAAAATACAGTTAAAAATAAAAATGTCCTAAAGTTTACAGATTTTTGAGTTTGTGTACATGTCTTCAAACTAACTTACTCCTTGCATGATAAGGTTTGGTTTTAATGGTTTATTTTTATCAGCACCAAGTTGCATTGCACTATTGAGGCTGAGCAAATGCTGGTGGAAAGGTGAGTTTTCATTTCCAGCAATGGATCATTATTTGTACATAGCAAATATCATGCCCAGCTACCCCTTTCTCTTATCGCTTCCCCTGGGGTAAGTGTTAAGGAATAGTAGTACTTATTATGGTATGTTTAAGAAACCTTGGGCATTACCCTGAATCAAAGTTTCAAATGTTAGGTGGCAGCAGGAAACAAAAGATTACAGATTGAGTTGTTAAAATTGGATGTTGTAAAACTGTACTTGAACGTTTTAGTTGCCTTATGTTAATATAACTGTTGAGAGATGCCAAATGTGTAATATCAGAAGGGAAAACTTACATTTTGCTGTGCCTACAATTGTTTACATTTTTTAAATCTCCAATTTTCAAAAGTATTTTAAATTGTCAAAAATTTACTAAAAGTAGATTATGGCCTCATCTGAGAATGAGAGAAGAAAATCTTCCTGGCATATTTTCCAGTCTGAAGCTTTTGGTTACTCTCAGGTATTTTTTTTTCTTGCATACAAAAATCATTGAGAAAGTACTTTCTACAGTTATTCCAAGCAGTCATTAAAAATGCATGGATAGGTTTTTGCACATGGTCACTGTCATGCCCTGGAATATAATATGCTACCTTTGTCAAAATATGACTAATAAAACATTAATAGTAGGGTGCCTCCTTGTTCCTCATTGCCACTTGCAGACCATTCTTCCTTCCTCCTCCTGAACACTCACTGTTTTGAAGCTCTTTACATCAGCCTGTCAGGTCCCTACATTACCCTCTTTTACTCCTGCTCATTGCTCAAGAATTTTCACTTTTCGCTCACTGTTGCTCTCTTTACCACCACCCTGTCATCATTCTTGATTACTTCAATATCCACTTAGTCCTACAAAAATCCTGGCTTCTCAGTTCCCTGATCTTGACCAGTGAAACTTATCATTACTAATTACTGCATCGGCTTTTTAAGTGACAGCAGACAGTTCTTATTTGCTCCAGGTAAATCTCATTCAACCTCACCAAATAAAGATCATTTCCCCAGAAATCAAATCTTCTCTTCTGCATCCCCTATTCTATTCTATTTGACTGTATTCTGAATTCCGCTGTATTCTGTATGCTGCAGAATCCCGTCTTAAACACCCTCCTTGGCGCCATTACCCTCTCTAACTGAAAGGGCCCAGTATTCCCAGAGACAGTTGTTCTGGGATAAACATAGAAATTTGCCCTTTGCTGTTAAAGCTTGAAACTTGTATTTGTTTTCCTTCAAGACTTCTCAAAAAAGTATCAAAGAACTGCAACTCACCAGATCACAGCACCAGATGCCTCCTTGCCTCCCTAGTTCCTGTTTTCTTACACATTGATACATTTCTTCCCGGCTATATAAATGCCTAGTTTTCATCAGTCAGGGAGATGGATTTGAGACTGAGCGCCCATCTCCTTGGCTGCAGCACCTGATCAAAGCGAAGCCTACTTCCTTGGCAATAGTTATCATCTCAGTTATTGGCTTTCTATGTGGCAAGCAGCGGGACCTGGCCCAAACCTGGTGTTTCAGTAACATAACTACCATCTTATTTATCTGCTTCCCTTCACTGAAAAATTCTCTAGGGGGAACTGGGTGTACTTACTGTTCTAAATTCTTTCCTCCCTTGGTCTTTTGAACCAACTCAAATCAGGCTTTCATCTTTACCACAGCAGCTCTTGCGACGGACCCCAGTGACCTCCATGCTTTCAAATGCAATGGTTAGGTCTCTGGCTTCAATGCTGCTTCATTATCTGCAGTCTTTGACACAGTTAATGATTACTCCCTTGTTGAAATGCTTTCTCAGCTCTGGGACATCTTCCTCATGTTCTCTCACCTTCCTGGCCATTCCTTCTCAATCTCATTTGCTGACATCTTGGAGTACCCCAGTCCTAGGCATCCCCCTCTAAGTGATCTCTCCCAGTCTTGGGACTTTAAAAACCATCCATACACTGACAACACCTAAGTGATCTCTCCCAGTCTCAGGGCTTTAAGGACTATCTGTATGCTTACAACACCCACATTTTAATCTCTAGACACAACCTCTTTCCTTAATGGCAAATTTGGCATATAAATGTCTAATTTATGAAGCACCTTCATTTGGATGTGCCATTTGCATCTCAAACTTGACATGTTCACCCATCAATACACAGTAGTACTCTCGTATTCATGGTTTCATTTTCCATGGTTTCAGGTACCTGCAATTATCTGCAGTCTAAAAATATTAAATTGAAAATTTCAGAAATAATTCACAAGTTTTAAATTGTGCACCATTTTGAGTAGTGTAATGTAATCTTGTTCCATCCTGCTACATCCCACGCAGGACATGAATCATCCCTTTGTCCAGCATATCTATGCCATAAACACCTTCCTCTTAGTCACTTTGTAGCTGTCTTGGTTATCAGATAGACTGTCATGGTATCACAGTGCTTGTGTTCAAGTCACCCTTATTTTACTTAATGGCCCCAAAGTGCAAGAGTACTGTGCCTAATTTATACATTAAAATTTATCATAATTATGTATAGATGGGGAAAAAATAGTATAGGCTTCAGTACTAGCCACAGTTTCTGGCATCCACAGTGTGTCTTCAAACTCCCCCTACAATCCTCCCTGTGTCAGTAAATGGCAGCTCCATTCCTCCCCACTAGAAAATCTTGTTACCCTTTATTTTTTGCTTTCACACACCACATCAGATCCATTTCTTGTTTAATCTTGTTTTTCCCTACTTTCAGGTTATATC